AACAAGCTTTGCTTTTTCCTTTAAATTCACCTGGAGCAGAGGCTTCACCTTCAGGCGCCGTGTCGGGCACCTCGGCCCCGCTCAGCCCGCAGTCAGCCGCGACGGGCAAGGAAAGTGTTCTCAGACCTGCCGCGTTTCCAGCAGTAAATCGCTGCTCGCGGCTGCACAAACGGTCAGCCCACCAATGGTGCTGCACAAAGCGGCTCTGGAGCAGCTCAGGCGAGGAGGTAATTTCAATTACATCACTCCAATTACATCAAAACCGTACAAGTTGGTACCAAAGTTAAGGCAAAACATTAATTTTCTTAATTTTTGTTAAGAAAGCTTTTAAAATTCTTTATGACCTCCAGAAAGCTGACCCATTCCTGACGTGTGTGCCCTAATGATGCCGCAATTCTTACCGACGTAAATGCCGACATAAGTTTTAGATTGAAATCCAGTAATCCTCCACCAAAAGCAAACACAATATTGTTTCTCTTCACCCTCAGCCCATCAAGCTTGGTGTTGCCCCAATGACTGAAAACCTTGAATTAAAAAGTTGCCAATAACAGAAAAAAACAGTAATAGAACAAAACCAGTTGGAAGAGACAGCGGCGAAGCGCCGCAGCAGCTGGGACAGCGAGTGGGGAGAGGGGAGAGGAGCTGTTTGCTGAGCACAAAGTTGTCCAACGGTCGGGTGAGGCCAAAGCCCGCGGGTCCAGGAGGGCCCAAGCGGCCAAACGCCGCCCCGGGGAGGAGCCGAGCGGCGGCGGGCGCGGTCCCAGCGCGGGGACCGCCGGGCTGAGCCAAGCGGAGCCGCCCAAACAGCATTTAGGCAGACCCAGCGCCGAAGGACTCGCCCCTGCAGCGCTCCCCCGGGTCTGTTAGGCGTGCGTTTAAGTGCACAAACAACATTCGGGTTTGCAAAGTCTCCTACATCCCTGGAGTTGCCGGGTGTCGAAAAGCCCTCACAGGTGTCAACGCAGAAAAATCTGTTGCGCCGTCTAATAGTCAGAAGGGGGAAGCGGGAGAACACGACGTGGCTCTACCCTGCCCGGCGACGGCAGCGGAGCCGGGCACCAGACGTGCACGGGGAAGGGCAGGAGGGGCCGAGCACGCGGGGAGCGCGACCCCGGGGTGGAAGGGTCGGGGGAGCTGCTGCTAAAGCATCGGGGAGCCTGCTCTCACGCCGGGCTCGGGGAAGCAGCGGCGCCTTCCACGCTCCCTGCCCCGCTGGGAGCTCACACCGCTTCTTCCCCGAGTCTCTTACGTGATTTTCAAACACCCAGATTCTCTTTCCTAATACAGGAGCTATAATTTGCCTAAAGATAAGCCACGCAGACTGGGAGCCCTGCACATGCAGCGATACAGAAAACACAGGGACTGTAAAATTGTCACCGTGTAGGAAAATGACAAATTTATTGAGATCTAAATATTCACTCTGAGGCTACAGCAGAATAAATGCTGTTACAAACAAATAAGCACTAGGGTCTAACACTTTATACTGCTGCTAAACAGCTCTCTGCTCTCATAGGTTTGCGTGTTTTAAAACATTTAATGTTCTTGAAGTAATTAATCAAGACGTCAGATGTCATTTTAATACAAATTCCACCAAAAAAATGTACAATCAAATGCATCACTGTTGCCACTGCAAGGTAAAAATCATTTAATAACGTAACTATGGGAAATCGGTTTAAAAAACATATTTGTTAAATAGTAAGATAAAACTTTAGCAGCATTTTAAAAATCTGAAAGTCCAAAGAATATGATAATCTTAAATCCCGAAATGCCACGATCCCAGCTCCAGTGCCTCTATTCTGTGGGTAAAACGAAGGGATGGGAATTTGTTGTTCCTCTGCCCAGGAGACGGCACGTCTGCGTGGCGTGGGGCCAGCAAGCCAAGCGCTTGTACGGACGTGGCTGGATGAAAAGGTGATGTTTCTCCTTCTGCATCCTCGCTCCAGTGCTGGGGGGATTCCCTCTTTAAGCAAAAACTGAGCGGAATTGTTTTACAAGAACCTCGGCGGTGCCTGGCCCCGCTCTGGGCCGCCGGCTCGGCCCTGCCCCGCGCTCCAGCGGCAGCGCCTGGCGAGCAGAGGCCGCACCGCTCGCCTTCCTCACAGCTCAGAAAAAGAACCTAAATGGCTGCTTTTTGCTTTTTATCCAAGAAAGGCAATTCCGGGCTCACTGGCCAGCTCCCAGCGGTGGAATCCAGCTGAGGGCAGCTCTAAGAACGACGTAAAACCTGACCCGCGTCCTGCACCCCAGCATCTGGCAGACCCGGCCCTCCCTCCGCAGCCTGAGCAAGCAGCTCCTTCCAGCACAGCCCAGTAAACCGCCGTCTCCTGACTGACTGCACACAGTTTTCTCAAAGCCCTGCACTAACTCAGGAGCTGTTCCATGGATGATTATAGACCAACCATAAAACACCTGCACCCCCGTCTCTTAAATGAGCTCTGAGTTTGGGGCTCCGAGTTTGGGGCTTTTGAGTTTGGGGCTCCGAGTTTGAGCTCTGAGTCTGAAGCTCCGAGTTTGGAGCTCCGAGTTTGGGCTCTGAGTTTGGAGCTCCGAGTTTGGGGCTCCGAGCTTGCGCAGCTTTCCTGCCCACGCCTATTGCTCCTGGCAGCCTCCTGCCAGCCCAACGTCCCTCTCCCAGCGTGGGCTCCGTCCCGGGGCAGCGGGGAGCTCTCGCCACCTCCTGCCCCCTCCCCACCTCGGAGACTTTGGTTTCCCACCCCCCCCCCCGCTGCCACCGCACCTCACCCGGACAGTGACCCCGTGCTCAGCTAACTGCTGCGGGATCGCTGCTGCCCACCGGCTCCCGTGCCACTGGCAAGAGGGGCCAGGCTCGCTGCTGTCCTACGGGGGGGGGACACACGAGGGACCTTCAGTTCCCAGAGTCTGTCTTGCTCCTCAGCCACTACCGCTACCGGCGAGCCTCCTGGCAAGCCCAGCCGCCGCCTTCGCGCGAGGAGATTGTTCTACAGCCTGTCAGACAGCCCTCCGGCCGCGTACGGCGAGAGCTGGGGGCTCCCGTGCTGTTTGAGAGCTGTAACAGAAGAGGAAGAGACGCTCGTGAGGAAGAACTGCTCGCTGGGCACGGAGCTCCCGCACGCCGCCAGCTGCGTGCTCCTTCCTCCAGCAGAGCTGCCGGGGCGCCGCTGCCCCCGAGGCGAAGCCCTTCTGCACGACCACGGCTGCGAGGAAATGAAAAAGATCTCGGATCCCCTCCGCCAGCGGCCGAGGAGGCTCCGGGGGTTTGGCTCAGCGTTTCCGAAGCGGAGGCCATCCGGGCAGCGGCGTGCATGGCTACAGCCGGAGCAATGAGTTACTGCAAAAGCACTCGGAAGTAACTCAAGTATGAAAGGAGCTATATAAAATCAAGTTCTGGTGTATAATTGAAAACCTGCTGTTCCTTGGCATGTTCTTAATAGTGCAAAACATTATATATGCTTTGCTTTTTTATTCCTGAAGCTGTAAATACTACCACCGGCTGTGGTCACAGCTCTGCCCAGAATCTGCAATTTTGATTAAATAAATACCACGAGATTATAAAGCAGTTGTGCACAACGTCTCGCGATTAGAACAGGCCTGTCCCAAAATAACTCACAGTTGCTCAAGGAGTTCTTCAGTCCCCCTGAGAATTCAAGGCAAATCCTCTCTCTCGACTTCAAATATGTGAGAAAAAGAAATAACTGATGGCGTTTGAGCTTCTGTGACAGGAACGCATGCAGCCAAGCGGCTGAAACGCGCAAGCAGTCCCAGGAAAACGGGAATAATCAGACCCTTGTGCAGGAGCCTTTTGCAGGACAAACAGCAGTTGAGTTTTCCACCTTTTGGGAAAAGATTAAAAGATACTAAACCTGAGTGAGTTCGGCTGGTTCCCAAAGGGCCTCGGCTCCAGCACCCAGCACTGAGAATCAGGCAGAAAGGGGGCAGCGGCGCAGCTCTGACCTCCGCCCCGCTCGCTGCGGGCAGGCGGGCGCCCAGCCCCTTTCCCACGTGTCACTGGAAGCAGGGCGAAGGCCCTGGCAACCCGGGCTGCGCCTGGATTTGGGCTAACGGGGTCGGCTCCACGCTTTGGAAGATGATGGTCAGTTAAGGGGAAAAAGGAAAACGAGGTACCAAGGAAGCGGAGACTCTTCGAGGGCTCTCCAGCCTCACCCCCCCCCCCGCGCTGATTGTACCGACAGGACCTGGTGGTGCACGTGGTTTGGGTCTTTTCCCCCTCCCTGGGACTCCTGCACCAGGAAAGCCAAGCTTAATGTTTTTTCTTCTAAGTTTAGGAGCAACAGTTTGTTGTTCCTTGCAAAGCCACACAGTGGAAAAGAAAGCAAGAGGAGGCCTGCTGCAGCCTCCTTTTTCAAAGGCCTTGGTGTTTCTGCTGAACCTCAAATATATCCCCTACGAAGGACAGGGAAGAAAAATAAAAAATTAGAAAGTGTGTTAGCAAATGCTCCCATGCAAAAGTCTAAACTTTATTCACTTTTATTTATATATTTAACAATTCTAAAGTATTTACTTCTCGCTTTGACAAAAATGAAAAATATAGGAGCACTTTACTCTCTTTAGGAGAGAACGGTTATATATACACCTATGGAGAGATACTGCTTCCTCCTTTACATACAAAGAAAAATAATATTAATAAAAAAAGTGCTTCATCGATCAAAAAAAGACTAAGAGCTGCAAGCATTTATTCACACTGTACATCACAGACCCAAAAAACCCGTATCGTAACCTCTTGGCACCTGTCATTAGCAACTGCAGAATCTTAGACTTATTTTTGACTCTCTATTTGCACCACAAACCCACACAGTGTTAGTGTGCAGAACTACCCCGTGTCCCCTAAAGTCAAACCTCTAACCGCGCGCTCGGTGGGAGAGCCGGAGACCCTCGTCCCGCTCCAGCCGCCTCCGTCCTTCCCCCAACAGCAAGGCCTCCAGTTCCAGTCCAGATACTCACGGCACTGGCTTACGAACAAATACTTCTAGATACAACTCAACTGGAGAACCCATCTTTACCTTTGCTCTTCCCTCCCGATGGTTTGGAGAAACGTTTCAACACCCATCCAAGGGGAGATCCCGAGATGCCCCCTCCCGTGAGGACACAGGCTGCTATGCTCAACCAGCCTCCTGCACATTCATTTTTGTCTTGTGAATCTCCAGCTTACGCCGCAGCAGTGTGACGATCCTTGCAAAGGGTGGGGGAAGTTCAAAGTCAAAAATAAAACACCTTGACATTTCCCCATCAGACCCAACAAATATTCTGAGCTGGTTTTCTCTGTGTGATACTCGCTTTGGATTATGCAATTCCGACATTCCAGGGAAGGGAAGCACTCCTTTCCCAAGGCCTCTTAGATTTCGAGCCTTTGGAGCTAGAACTCTCAAAGGCTCCAGCAGGATTGTTGAGAATATCACAAGAGAAGTTGGAACCTCCTCTGGGTAATACGCTGCGAAGCAGGATCTACGTTTCTTCCTTGCCAAACTGCACTAAGCAGGCTCTATCAAAAGGAGAAGGGGATGAGTACCTAACACTCATTTAAAAACATATATTCAATAGCTTCACACTTTAATGAGGTGACTTTAAAAGCGACTCGGATTGGGACAGAAGGAAGAAGGGGAATCCAGGATGTATTTCAGGTCTTTACAAAATCCTCAGGATTTTTCCTATCTGGAGTATTCTGAATACAGACCGAAAAAGGAGGAGACATCCCACGAGTGTTACAGGCACCAGTGCACTCCTCATGGACCGAGCCCAGCGAAAACACCCGCGTATCACAGTTGTTCTTCCGCTGGTTTGGACAGTCCCATTAAAGTGCGAGTCTGAACAACAGCACAACGGCCTGTCTGTAGGAACCATGACGAGTGCACCGCTCCAAAAGTAGCTTCGCATCGAGTAAACCATCCTACAGGCGGGGGGGGGGGGGCAAGGAGAAAAGTTGAAGGTCTTCTACTTTCCCACTGGGTTTTAAGTTACGTTTACAGAGCTTCGGGGAGAGGCGCCAGCGTAAGACCCGCCTCAGCCCGCAGCCTGCTCGATGCCCTCCTTGCCTCTGGCAAACAAGCGCGCGCTCTCCTCAGCCGGCGGGGCCGACGGCAGCACCACGCACCGACTGCGGGTGGCAATGCGGGACCCGCCCTCCCCCTCCACGCGGCGAGGGTAACTAAGCCCACTCTGAGAACAGAGAGGGAGAGTGCTCTCTTGGGAAAGAGGTTCCCGTTTCTTCTAGCAGCAACAGGTTCCCAAACAGCAGTTTCTTGTTTGGAAGGAACAGGAGTGATTGAAAGCACTAGCGCTGACGCTACGGGTGTTCACGCTTTGCACACTGGCGGGACTGATTCCCCTCTTCTTTCCTCCACAAAAGCGTCTGTTTGCGACAGTTCAGCGGTGGGACAGTTAAACACAAAAGGGAAATCTGGTTTGGTGCCAGCTCCCTTCCCACTTCCACGACCTTCCAGCAAACAAACAAACATGTATATATTATTATATATATATATACGCACACACGCGCGCGCACACACACAGACACATACACACAGATCGGACAGAAAGGAAAGGGGAAGGGCTGGAGAAGGAGAATCCCACGGTCCAGCGGTGTCCTCCAGGCCTGTCCCGCCGAGCAGTGTTCCACACCCCAACCTCCAAAGCGCACGGCCCCCGCAGCCTCCCAGCCTCGGCCCACCGAGAATCTGCGCGTCTGTCGGGGAAGAGTCGGCCCGGCTGCTCCCCCGCCGCTTCGAGGCTGGAGCTTTAATTTGACGTGGCAGTGATGGGTTTATCCAGTTCGAGATCGAGGCTGGAACTGCTGGGGTGCAAGCTGCTGTAGCACGATTTGCAGACTCGGCTGGGTTCAAAGAGCTGCTGACTGGGAACGGGCACCTTCTGGTTACAGCAGCTGGAGCAGAACACGTTTCCACAATTCCTTGCATCAGGAACAGAGGAGAAACGGAAAAGAAAACATTAGAAGCAGTTGGACAAAGTTACCCAAGTTCTAAAATTACATTATCCCCAGCGTTGTGAGGGGGTCGGCCCTGGAGACCGCAGTTGCTCCTCCCCACGTAGCAGGATGGGGGCAAACCCCACCCTCTACACCCTGCGCTACTCGCTTCCAAAGCCGAAGCTCAGCTCTGGGGAACTGGCACCAGAAAGGAGCGCACGGCACACCAGAGAACAGAATTACAGCTCGTTCAACGCCTGCGCAGCGACAGCTCTTCTGTGCGACACCGTCTCGTGTCGGGCCGGAGGGAACTGACCCCTCTGAAACAGGGAGCTTGGGCCTGGGGCCGCTCATCACTGTCACTGCTCCCTGGGGGGGCACACAGCTGAGGCAGGGGCTAAACCAGAGCAATCAAGGGGCCTTCCTCCGCAAGGACGTGAGGCATGTGGGGTTCTGGCCCCTGCTCACATCACTGATCCAGCTCTCTGTTAAAGACAGATTGGATACTACAGTCCTGGGAGGAAGCAGGAAGTCTCTGCTCCTTTACTCTTCTAAAAGTGTGAGCTGGTCAGTACCAGCACAGAGACATTTCCTTCTGTTTCTTTCAAGACCACTGCTGGAAAGTTTAAGCATGGGACAGATGAAAAAGAGAAATTAAACCCAGTTTTAGTTGATGCAATCCTCCCATTGCCCCAACAGCGCGGTCCCTTTTGCGGCGTTCCCGGCAGTCCCGCACCTCTGCATAAAGTAAACCGAGTCAACAAGAATCATGCAAAGCCACGAGACGAGCAGCCAGGTATTTCATGCTCAGAAACGACAGCAGGGTGAGTGGTCTCATACACATTCTTGTCAGATGTCAGCTGGTGGAGGCACATGCACCTCAAGAGGCAGGGATAAAATTTACATCTGGAAAAGAATTACCTTCTCTTCTTGCAGCCCCCCCTCAAATCCTGCTGCTCAAGCTAGCTGGTGTTCCCTGTCCTCCAAACTCATCAATTCTTGTAAGGAGCTCAGAACAGCACTCCAGGGACCTGAATTTTGCAACTTCACTGCCATGCCTGATGCCCTTTTCATTACCTCTTTGGCATCGGGACTTCGTGCCGTTATTGTTTTGTGCTAGAAAAGATTTGCTGCTGCCAAGAGACTGACAGAGAATTCTGCCTACGCCCAGCAGCTCTGATTAATTCTTCATTGCCAAGAGACAAGATTTCCAGATGCTGGTCACTGATGGGGAAAGAGTCCACAGAGAAATCCCATTTCTCACTTCAATGGGCTAATTTTCTCAGCTCCACACAGTGGCTCCTGGCCTCCAAGCTGTAACCCTAGCACTAGGAGACTCACAACAGCAAGTTTTTCTACAGTGGTTTTGAAGCCTTCTTAAGGACCCTGGTTAGACATTACTTTCAGAAGAGCCAACAGGAGTGGAAACAGTCCCACGAGGTATTCTGCAGAAACACCCTGCAGAAAACCAGTTCCGACAACCCACAAAGAATGATTACCCTGCAGAAGCTTGCTGTTGATGGAGGAGGTCAAAAAAGAACCCGAGCGATTAAAACAAGTATCTGTTTGTTGTAGCTCACCACCTTCCTAACATATGCTCGGGCTTTTTTGTTGTTTTATCCTTCTGTGACAGATAATAGTGTTCTGTAACTGTTCTCCCCCGAGCTTCGGAAGCCCTGAACAACTCATTCTTTCTATCCTGGTGGTCCTCTGCTTTGCTTGAGAGATTAAAAAAGAGACATTAAAAAACATGCTGGAAAAGCAGTCTTGCTCCTTTGAGGAAGGGTGAATTAAAATCATGCTACCAACACCTCCTCTTCTTACTGAGTCACAGATGTTTATCCATTTTTTGTGATCCTAACCCTCTACCAGCTTCACGTTACCTGCTACTGCCACAGTATTTTCAGTCCTTCTAAAGTAAGTGGCGGGTTTTTTGTCAACACACTGCACAGCAATATTAGAGTCATTTGGTAACATGTGGACCTCTCCCATAAATAAGGAAAAAAAAAAAGGAATCAAAAATAAATGCATAATGGCCAAACTTGAAGGACAGTCTCGTCTCAGGTGAAGCATTCTCTGTTACTCAAACACACAATTTACTGATGGTGAGTGTTAGTGTGATCCACATCCCAGTTTAAGCTACCAAAAGCCAAGTCCTAAATGCCTTGCCATGAGAGGAGCGGCCTGTTTATACGGATCTAAACATCCAACAGATTGTGCTAGCCACCCACAACTTATTTCTAGGCAAGTGAAAAACAAAGAGGGGGAACAGACCGAGTTAGTTTGGAGAAGTTACCAAGAAAACGCAGACAGACAACAGACACAGGCTGTTGTAAATGCTCACCAGATTTGATCAACACGTTCAATGTCCCTGCAAGGAGGGGAGAAAGAGCTCAGAGGGGAACGAGCAAAAGAAGCAAATAGTGGCAATGAAGGAAGCTGGGTATTTTTATCCTGCTCAAGGCCTGTGTGGGTTTCAACTCATTTTCACTCTCAGGGAAGATGTCGAGCAATCACGGGAATTTCTGAAAATGTATACTATGGAAATACTTGGGTTTCCTGTTGGCTGCTCTTCCTTACTGGTCTCTGTCATAAACAACCAAAGCTTATGCGGACAGCCCGGTCAACCCAGACATCAGGCATTTGAAAGCTGAAGAAACGAAGACACTAAAGGGAAATTTGCAACCAGACTTGAAGCCCTGAGTCAATTTTAACTCCTCATGGTGTTGGGGCTGCCCTGTGTGTATCCATGGGCGAGGAGTTCTCCAGAGCCCAGGCCTAGGAAGCTAAAATGTAGATGCCAAGTGTCAGCCAGCCTAGGGAGGCAGGGTGACAGTGCCAAATGGGTACACTTCACAACAGACACCACTAGGAGAAGGACAAAGGAAAACACTGCTTTAACTCTTACAAAACCTTTCAGATGTGTACAACTGTATGCTCAGCAATTATATTTTTTCATCTGAAGTCTTGAGACATACAAATTTGCACAAACACAGTGGACATTGAAAAAAAAAAAAAATCAAAGCCGTTCAACTTCTATTTATTCCTCCCTGGGTTGTTCATCTTTACAAGAAGAATAAATGGAGCAAAATATAAAATGGACAGAAACCAAGTAGGATGTTTATAATTCTCTACAACTTCAAAAAGCAATGAAGCATCAAAATGAGATAACTGCCATTTACTTAAATGATGGTTCTTGTAATAGTTTTCTCATGTCCAGAAATCAGGAATTGTAATTTACTTGAAACAGAACTTAGAAATCTGAGATTCTCCATCTTTAACTAGAATATGATCTAATCAAAAGACCTCTGCCACCTGTTCTTCTTCAAGCCCCTGCTGCCTGCACTATCTGTTGTAGCCTCTGCTGGCTGTATGTTTGGCAAAGAATAACCCAGAAAACAAACTTTTATTTCACATAGGTGTCCTTTTCATGTTCTCTTACAAGAACAAATTAATGAAAAGGGAAGAATAGTTAGAGAAGGAGCAGATTTACAACCAGCAATGGGAAGAAAATGCTATTTATATATTTGCAGTATTGAATTACTGAATGCTAAAGATGACAAAACAGTATTTTATTATTTACACCCTTTTCAAAAGCTAAACCACCAGCTGCCTCCAAATCCACTTTAAGGAAAAATGGCAGGATCTGTTTAGGCTGGGGTGGAGCAGATACCAAATCTGGCTTTTAAAATATATACTCTGCACGAACCGGAACGGAACAGGAGAAACTTCTGTTCTTCCTTCAGAAGCCTGCACGGTCTTACTCTAAAACACTTAGTGTGACATCCACCCTCAGGAAAGGAACTATCTGTCAAAAGAAAAGCCCGTCCACAGGCGCAGAGAGGAAGAGGGGACAACTCAAGCCGTGCCCATGCCTCCCTCCCTCCTGTCCTCTCTCGATGCCCAGGTTACCTGCAGTGGTGCTTCCTACTGGCAAGCCAGAACGTACTGTCACAGCCGTAGCAGTGCGCAGCGAGGTGGTCCGGGAGCCATCGTGTCACCTGGGAGAAAGAAAAGCCAAATTTATCAAGGAGAGGGCAATTAAATAGAAGCAAAGCCATCTCATTCGCGCTTGAAAATTCAAAGCGAAGCACCACGAGGGAAGTGCTTGTTCTATTTTAAGAGCACAAAGTCAGTGTTTGCAACAACTGAAGACAGACGACAGAAACCTTCCCCTTGAGAACAGATACACTAAACTCCCCTCTGACAAACAGAAATTAAGTCATGAAGTCCTGAGGTTTTTTTTGTGCTTTAAAAGTATCCGGGTCAAGACTATTCACCAAGCACGTGTCCACCTAAGGCTCCTTCAGGCAACCATCCCTTCCACAGCTTCTCAAAGAGCTCATACAGAGACAGCAGAGGGCTCATAGGCACAGGTACTGATATTTAAAGCATGAGACAAGCGAAATGCAAGGAAGATAGCTCACAAGAAGTGGCACATGACCAAAAGCTGTAGGATGATTTGAATTATGAATAGCCCATCCTACCGGAAGAATAAGCGATTTACAGGGATTTAGTCTGTACCTCTGTGTCCTGTTTATCCACCTGTTCCCAGCTGGCTTCAGAGAAAATCTCTGTGCTGCAGCGAGACAAGCAGTTCTGATCCAGATTGCTTTCCGAGTCGGGTATAGAAGTCTGTTGGCAAACAAACACAGCTGAACAGAACCTTCCCATATTCCTACTTTCATACAAATAAAAACTGGACAGTCGTGGGGAGGAGTGGAAAGGGAACCTCCTGCTAAGAAAAAGCAGGCTATGTTTGTGCTGGAAGGGCGAATGTCATAACCAGTCACCCACCTACAGTGCACAGGTGGCAGCAAAGGCGCAAGTACCTTTTTGAATGGGACTAAAAATGCCACACATGGAAGTGGTTTGTGCAGTGATGAATTGCAAAAAAAAAAGAAAAACACCAGCAAAAAACCCTAACCCCAACAGGTCAGTTTCTGACCCTCTGATGACAGGATGATGTGAGGTAGAAGGGATTTAAAAACTGTTTTCTGCTGTGTTAGCACAAAGTTCTGGCAACACTTTGGGCAATTAACCAAAAAAGCTGCTATCTGTGGCTCCAATTTCATGGTCGCAGTTCCTTTCCAAGGTTGTTTCACTTTCAAAACTCATACTAGTAATACATATATCCTTTTGTTGGCAAAAGTGCAAGCCAAATCACACATGGGAAACTCAGAATTTGAGCCATATACATTCCACATATAGTTATTTTGGGAATGCTTCCTTAGTATAGTCTATCCAGGTGTGGTTCTATTATAACAGACTTAAAACACATTAAAAATAGGAAGAAATCTTGAGTTAATGTCTTTTTGTGCCTGAGAAATGGGCATCTCTGGAGCTCCAGAAGAAAACCTGTTACTCCCAAACTGAGATACAAATAGAAGGTAGACATCAAATTTTTAAAAATGGTGAGTTTTCTAGAGGACAGCACGCTCTCACATCCAGCCCTCCACTGCAGTTTGAGAAGGCTCTTTAAAAGTGGAAGCATAAGAAATTTAGCCAAAGCACCAAATTTCTCCAAGGAATCCAAGCTTTTGCCAGTGACAGAAGCCACACCCAACTGAAATGACACCGAGCTGAAATGGATGCCCAAAAAGAACACTCAGTGGTGTTGTCTCCAATGTGAATAGCCAAGAAGGCTCTGAGTATTTTTCACAACAAACGTACCTGGGACTATCCAGCACCTCTGCCACTTTTAAATAATATTAAGTTAAACAAACAAAAGTTGGAAACCTCCTATGTTTTTTTTTTTTTCCCCAATTTTGCAGGCATAACACACATTACAATGTGCATGTAGGAAAAGGAAATCTTTGATGGGTGTTACGTCAACCTCAGGAATTACAAGCCCACGTTCTGCCCAGCATTCAAACCCACGGGAAGACACAAACTCTGTTTCAGGGATTCCAGGTCTCCCCACCTTTGCCTTCATGCCCCTCTCCTCCTCCCGTGCCTGCTGGCTCCCCCAAGTAGCTCTCCCCCCGCTTCATTTTTTTTTACTTAGCTAATCCTGGGCCTCTGAAAAAACAAGTTTTGCACCAATCTCTCTACTCTGTGCTCATAGGCTTCTACAGAACGGGACTCCTGCTTGTTCTCTCCATCAGTGTTACATTCAAGCAACAGTATAATGGCAGTGACTGTATTTCTTTTGACTTTTTATTATTTACTAGTCAAAAGAGGAGGAGAAATTAGGTAAAAAACAGGTAGGGGAGAAGCAACTTAAAAATCCAGCCAAGATATACAGAGACATATACAAAACTTGCTAGCTACTGAGATCTTGAACTTTGAGCTGCACTTACTTCTGTTTTAAAAATTTATTTTGCAACCACAACTACACAGATGATTTAATTGCTACAGAAATCAGCACACTGTATTTGAACAATGCCTCAAACTTGTCTCTACTTTTACGACTTTAAACACTTCCAAGTAAAAGCACAAACAGTTCAAAAGTTCCCTTAAAATTCTTAATTTATTGAGGAAAACCCCTCATTGACATAAGGCTGTCACAAAAGATCTTAATTTATTCCAGGTTAATGAGCCTTGAGCAGGCCAGTCATCTGAAAAGGGGACAGCTTGAATTTCATGGTTTTAAGTGAACAGAGCAGACACTGTTGCATCTTTTTTACCCTGAACATGTCAAGCACCAAGAGCTCAGTTCTACGCCACTGTTCCAATAAATGACACGTTCACATCCTTGGAAAAATATCTTTGCTCGTATACGAAAGCAACAGTAAACCAAATGTGTTTTAAGATGGTCAGTTAAGGTGTTTTAAGTATGTCCAGGTATGCGTGCAAGTACGCTGTGAAACACCCGTCTCGAAATAAACCTTTGGCACATTTATGGTCAAACTGAAATACAGTGAAAATATGAGTCATCATTAATTGCCACTTGCCACGTACTCGGTCAGTAGTTTGACCTCTTCAGAATGACCTCGAGAGTTTCATAAAAGCCTGCGTGGCCAAAAAATCACCACCTGACCAACGAACGAAGAGCTGACAACATGGTGAGATCCAGACCATGCCGAACTAGCCCACTGCTTCCAGCAGTGGCCCATTTACCATTTCACTTACCACTTCATCTCCATAATCACCATTGAGACGTAAGGAGCTATTCAGGAATTGGCTCTCCAACCGGCTCTTCAACTCTTGCACTTGCTTCTTCAACGTCTCCACTTCTTGCTGATGGCCAGTTTCTATCTGGCGCAGGCGCTGCTGGATGACGTCAGTGTAGACAGGCATCCCGTCATCGTCCAGGTGACTTCTGGCAGGTTGGTCTGGGCTGCTGGCTGCCTGCTGCTTACCAAGATGACTAAGCATCCATTTCTGGTGCAAGTTCCTCAGATGAAACTGGGCGGAACTACAGCTAGCTGCCGAGACCTGCCGACTCAGAGACGCTTTGATCCGACCGTCCTCTCCGTTCACACAGTGTCCGTTTGTCACGTGGTATTTCTGGGTGATATTAAATCCCGCAGGCTTCTCTGTCATCTTGTTCTCAGGCTCCAGCTCTCCATTGCACACGATCTCGTCTTTACATTCAGCTAAAGGCAAGGCACAAGGGGAAGGCATCGGGATGTGTGTGTTGCTGCTACCAGAAGTCCTATGCACTTTTGTTCCCAGTTTTTGAAGTTCTAGCATGCTCTCCCCCTCTGGCCTGTTTTCAATAGTTCGAGAAAGTTCGTCAGCACTGCTGTTGATCAGGTGAGGTCTGTGGCAGGGACCCTTCGGAATGAGCTCTTGCTTCACTTCATTCTCCGTTAAGGTTTCTGTAGAACTTTCAATGTTGGATGTCCCTGCCTCATGTGGGATTGTAAGAGGTAATGGAAGGCTGGCCTGCGCTGTATTGTCCAGGCTCTCCGCTTCTCCTTCAAGTTTGCTAACACCTTCTTCCTCCGTATTCTTTTGAACATCTCTATTTACAAAGCCCTCCAAAGGAGCAGTCTGTAGTCCTTTCACCTGAGGTAACTTCTGGATAGCGTTACTGAGATCAGTATGCTCATCCTGGTGTCCTTTAAGCTCAGAAGCACCTTGTGAAACTGGATGTGGATTGGATGTTGGATTGTTCACTGCAATACCTTTATCTGCCTCGGCCTTTTCACAGAGGTCACTGACATAACCATGTAGATTTTCAGTTCTCTTCTCCTTATCCAGGGCAATCTCATCCCCTCTGCCCGCTGTCTCTAGGCTACCCCTTAAGTGCTCCTCCAGACCAACATCGTCCTTAGTGGCCTCTTGCAAAATGTTCTCCATCTGTCCCTCTGCCACACCAGATGCAACAGAGAGTTCCGCTCCGACCGGAGCCCTGCCTTGTTTACTCAGGCTGTCTCCATCAAACGGGTCGTCCCCAGGGTTACCGAGGCTGCTCAGCTCCAGGGACCGACGGTGCTCTTGCCACTTCTCATTGAGGCTGGGGTCACTGCTACGTCGATTGGTTGTAGGCATGCTGCTATCACAGGCTGTTGTCAGATTGTCAAATGATCTTGTCTTTGGTAACCTATAAAAGTACAAATAATCAGAACCCAAAGTCAGGGGATTTTTTTTTTTTTTTTTTAAAAAAAAAACCAATTAGCTACTATGGTTTAAAAACTCCCCCCACAATTAGGACGGTAACAATCTAACTAATGGACTTCTGTGAAATATTATCTAGGAGCACATTTTGACCATCTGCAGTGCAGAGCTGCTTCAGTACTTTGCCATCAGGAAAGTATGTTCAATCAAACTTCAAACGTTCCCAGAATAATCCCTTTACCACAAAGCACAAACGCTTACAGTCTGGTCACACCTCCTAATTAGCATGCGCTCAGAACCGTTGTACAAAAAAGCAAAGAAATAGTTACGCAACACACAAAAAGAACTCAAATTCAGGACAGCCAAATGAAAGCTTATACCCCACACAAGGATATAAGGAATCCTACAAGGCTACGCAATAGCCAGAGCTGGCTAATCTTCTCTCTGTTACACTATCAACTCTGAAATGTAACAGCTTTCTGAAACAATGAGAGACCACCTTTGGGTAGGTCAACCAAACAGTCCCACAAACTAGCCCGTGAAGAATACTACCCTCCACCAAAAGTATTCTCCTCTTACATATCCCCCAATATTCTCTGTTGATCTTACTTTACAGGATGGGATTTCTGGGCTCTAGGCTCACCTGCCCAGAGGCTGATCTTCAGGGCTAGAGCCTGGAACAGGGTATGGGGCACAGGTGTCATCAGCAGGCGTAGAGGGGGAAGAGCATGGCAGGTAAACAGCACTCCAGAGCATTAAATTACGCACATGGCACACTGGATACAGCACCTGAGAGGGGAGAACACACGATGTTCAGAAATGATAAACTGCTCGCTCCCAGAATGCAGAGAGGTGTTCAAATCTGATTGCGGTAGTCTGGGTTTATTATTCAGGTTTGCAGCTGGGAGGCTTTGCTAGATTTCTAGATTAGTCTGAAGGCCAGTGAGCAGCTCTGGCATTTTTAATCAGCTACACTTGGATATGTAATTATCTTTTCTTTCAGAGACAGAGGCTGAGGCATAACAATGCTGGCTTTCAGCCTCTCATGAATGAATTACTGCAATGTACTCTGTGTGAATCTACACCTTAATAATGCTTCTGAGCAATTTAAACTGCTGAAGAATTCAGTGGCCCATTGTTAGCGCAGAGATTTCCTTGTACTTTGTATTATACCATGCCATATGAGAGCTGAACTAATAACCTCCTTCCACAGGCTTCAATTCATCAAAGCTAACCCTGTCTTTAATGGAAGCATTCATACGTTAAAAATTAAGTATATGCAGAAATACTTTGCTCAAGAGGCAGCTTGCTCTTAAAAGAGATTCCTTGACTGTGGAATATGCTTTCTGTTTCAGTTTAGAAACACCCTGGCTCATTCTATCAATTCCACTGTTTTCCCAGGCAACTTTCTTGTGGAAAAGCAGGCAAGGGCAGAGAAAACAGCCAGGTTTCCCTGCTGCTGAGCAGAGGGAGGGCTGTGGGGTGGCTTGGTTTGATGGATGCTGCTCTTCAACAACTACAATTTTATAACAAATGTGGCTACATCACAAAGGCACCTTTTAAACACTGAAGTAAAAGCACAAAAAGGTGAATAAAAGACAGGAAATTACCCAAACTCCCACATACAGACAAATTAGGATAATTAGCTCAGTTGACTACAGTGTAGTACTTACTGAGAACAGAGACCAAGTCACTGGGACTGCATCTATACTGCAGGATTCAGCACGTAAGGGCAGCCCAAGGACAAAACAGCTACCTGTCCACCCTGCCCACTTTATGAGCCACTCTTTAAGCTCCTCCTGGGCAAACCTGCTGCTAATTCTCAGGGAAAAACTTAAATCCACAGCTTTAGAAGTCCTCACAAGCCATATTTATCTGCAATGTCTCATGATTTCAGCTATCACGTCCACTCTTACAATGGCAATGTCAGGCTGAAAAGTCTTGAAGGGTTCTCTGACGTTGCCCGTCGCAATGACAAATGGGATCTGCACACAGCCTGAGCGCAGGCTGCACGGCCGGCCAGAGGGCTGATGTGAATATAAAACGAATCTTTTTATAACAAACATAGGCATAAACTCTTTCCTATTAAGCCAGGTTTCAATTACACTCTAAAGAGCCATTAGAAGCCATATCTATCATACGAAAAAACATCGCGTAGTGCTTACAGGTATGTTTATGGTATCTGATACTTCTATAAACAAAAAGGGTTTCAATATTTATAAAAGTCTTTGCTGTCCCAATCACAATGACATTTGACGATTGACTATTTGTTCACATGCCCACCATACTGTATCCCTAAATCCCTCACGTGCCCTTTTCTCAAATATACAGAAAGGTAACTGAGTCCCTTCCCAGAAGCTTTGGTGAGCTACTACTACAGAAGAGCCAAACTGAAAATGTGGAAGTGTTAAGAGAAACAAAGATATCCCAAATAATCTGTGTTATTACTTCTTTTCAAAGATAGACACACATTGTCTAGGTTTATACGCAATTTTATGACGCTCCTCTGACATAGCTTAGTTCTCCAGAAAGGTCTATTTGTCGAACTGAAATGTTTTCTATTACAAAACAAAGCAAAACATTCAGTTACAGAAAAAGCATTTCCAGCACAGAGAAGTTTCTGAGGTTGCATTTGACATTCCTCAAATATCCGCAAACTTAATACAAGACTTGAAATCTCAGACCAAACAGACTGTTCAGAAGTAAACATCTACGAGGAGAGCTGGGCACACTTCTCTGGAAATGCCTCTCTCTACACTGCATCCGTGATGACAGTTAAGCCACTCCAATGTCTCACTGCTACAAGCCTGGGTATTTGCTTAAGGTATACGCTTTTGAGAACATTGTACCCGGGAGCCCCTAAGGGGACCCTCCCCGGGTGGGTGGTGGGCAATGCAGGATACATACAGATTCGGACTGGGAGGAGTAGAGCAGGTTTTTGAAGGCTTTGTTTGCTGCCCGCAGCAAAGACCAGACAGAACAGGTCCGTTCCTGAGTGTGTTTTTCTCCTCTCTCTTTCGCATTGTTGCACAGGAATGTACCAAAGAGGCAAGAGTAGGTGTGCTGCACCAATTTGACCTGCACAGACCAACAGAAATATTGTCATATGGCAGAAGGTATCAGCTTAATATGAGAACCAACCTTCAGGCTAAAGCAGCAACAAATTCTGCTTTCACAGGGCAATACACCCCCTCCCTAAAGACTGATACACAAATACACCTAGCATTTTTTGCATACCTCCTTATAAACCAATTGCCAAAGAATTCAAGCATAGCAGAATCTTTTAAAATCATGACCAAAAAATTCAAGAAAAATATAAGATATAAAGACAAAATATTTTTTCATAATCAAGTATAATGGTCTTGCTGATTCAAACTCATAGCCCTGTAGGGTAGGGAAAGAAAAGAATCGTGATACCTCTTACAAAACATTACTGCAGCACAGAAATTCTGATCATTATTCACTCCATGCTGTGGTCCCAGTCTGACAAAATAGCTTAACATGAACTTAACTTTAAGCATATAAATGACTTCCACAGGATTATTCAGTTGTTTAAATGAAGACAAGTACTTCAAATACTCTAATAAATTAAGAGGTTTACTCTAAGAAGGCCAGAATACTAAGGTTGTGTTCACACACAGCCCCTGCAGATTAGCAGTGTGCTGTGAAGCCAGTTATAACCCGATGTATCTCATTTCACAACTGAGCTAAGCTAGGACCGTACACATACTCGGTTACATGGCTGAGCTGGCAAGTGGTAATTCAAGTCAACCACAATCACAGGAATGTGCTTTAAATCTCTTAGTGGATCAGACACTTCATAAAAACTTCTACTCTTCAGATTACTAGTCCTGCAGTGACTGCTGCTTTGCCAGAGACCTGCTTTCCAGCCTTGAGAACCGATTTTGACCATCCTAGGCAAATTTCTAATAGGAGAGAAGTCCACTTCAAAAGAACATAAACACAGCTTGTATACCCTACATGTTTTCAGCAAAGAAACGGACAAAATGAATAAAAAGGCAAGGGGCAGATTGTTTTTAGAGAGGAATCTTCAAGTCAAAATAAAAACAAAGTAGGGGGAAGTTTATATTGCCAGTAACTATACTTTTTTTTTTTTTTCCCATGCTGTGTGGATGTATTATACCGGAGTTATTTCAGCACCACTTAGGCGACACTATTAAATTTGTATCATTTAGTTATTTCTTTAAAGTCTAAAAGAAGTCTTTAAGGGTCCTCCTGTTTTGAGAGTGAACAGAGCCCAGGTCCCATGAAGTACACAAGTACTTTGTCTACTGTATCTGGGCAGTTTTCCTGTTACCTTTATCAGGCTGCAGCATATCACAGATAGATGGGAAAATAGCCCTTGGGCCTCTCTAGCATGTTACTACTGGGTACTGGTTTAGAAGCAGTCTATAAAACAGCAATCTCTCAAGCCACAACTCACAAGGAATGCTTCGTTAAACTCGAAAGAGCAAGGGAACTGCCTCTGGAGCTGATGGACGCAGTCCAGCCACTGTAAAAACACTGGGCAGCGCTCATTTAGGTCATCCGAATTCTCACCATGGCCACAGCGATCTGCAAACTTGTGGCCAAAATCCAGCCACTCCGTCTCCACTAGCACCTGGAAACCCTGCAGAAATGAAAGTACAGATGAAAAGTTCCCATTTTTTTATAAAAATTTGGTTCCGTTTTCTAAGACAGTTTGAGACTCGTGGGAATCACCTCATTACTGTGTCCTCACTCCTATGTCCCTTCAGCACTGGACTCATTACTTATCTTTACTGCTTTACCTAATGCCTCTATGTTCTGAAATGCTGCACAATGAAATTAGGGCAGATATGAATTCCCAAACCTACGTGAACAGGAAACGGAGTAAGGCAGGTTAAGTCCTCAGTGATGGGCAGGGAAGATCCTGACATGAGACTTATATTGGCCAGGCGGGGAGGGATTAGGAACTTCATCTTGATTGAAACCGTCTGGACCACGGTAACCAACACTTGGACAGGAGAGGAAATTTTAAAGCTCTCCCTTGAAAATGACGGGCAGATCTGTTTGTCATAAAAGGAAACAATTCGTCTACAACAGGACACTGACGCTCAGAGCGACTGCTTGCCTGCGTGTACACCAGATGTAGCACAGCCACAAGGTTGATTAAGGCTTGATTTGCATGGTTTCTCAGGCCAACAGAAAAGGGCAAAGAACATTTCAAAACAGTGCCTAGCTGAGCACCTGAATGTGACACCTCATCTTACAGGACCTAAAACCCATCACAGGTTAGGAAGGTTTTGATTCTTAGCAGAAAGAAAAATTGTAAAGCATGCTTAGTAAGTCAATGGCTGTAATTAGAGCAAAAATAATAGCTGATAGGCTTGAAATGTGACAGTGTTGAAGACTGTTTTCCTTAAACATTTCTGATCCTTGTACAGACAGCTACAGTTTATGCCTTCCTCTGATGGAGTGGTGACAAGAAAGGGGCAAAAGGCCATGCACAGAAGAACTTTGCACTTTGAACAGCAATGACAGCACTTTTAGGGTGGATCAAGAGGAGGTTCTGTGTCCAGGGCAGAGCAGTATGTTTTGTCCTGATGGATGCCAACTTCTAGAACACATGTGAAAAAAGGATCTGAGAAATTTCCACAATTTCATCCAAAATACATTGCTACAGTTTAAACTACTGGTTCATGTGTCCAAGGCTTTAAGCGGCCATTTATAGCACAGTGTTCAGATATATGCTTCTGTTCTGGACAACAAAGGCATCTTGCATGTGGGTTGGCAGATGGAATCCAACCATCACATATCACACAATGCTGAAAAGTGATGGGGGGGGTGTGAGGAGGTGGGGGGAGAACCTCAGGCTGAAAAAAACAGGAGAAATTAACTCAGTGACAGAGGACAACGAAAACATGAAACTGGGAAAACATGCAATTGGGAAAACTAGAGAAGAGAAAGGCTTTGTATCACTAATTGGCTGAGAAACTGCAGTGGTATAATGGAAACTGCAGTATGTAGCACTTCATACTACATATTCCTAAACTAAATATGAGGGAGCAGAGACCACGACAGTGCAGTTATAGCAAAGGGGGAAAATATAATCTGCTCCTGAATTACAGACTGTATTTACACCTATACGTAACTGTATCTCCAGACTACTGTTGGTAAACTCCTGCTAGCTTTAGTGCCTTCTTTAGTGGAAAAAAATGAAATAATTTACAGACATTTCTTTCTGAGGAAAAGGACCCAAACCCGGTAGCTACCTCATGCACTAACAGGTGGTTTACAAACCTCTGTGGTCCTGTAATACGGATCTAGCAGCAGTTTGGCCAGCGCCACGATCTGGGGGGTTCGGTCCCAGCCATCTGAGCAGTGAACCAGGACTGGTCGCTGGTCTCGGTCCACAGCATGAACTACGAGTAGCGCAGATTTCAGAAGCACAGATAAGTGCTGCAGCCATTTGGTACTTTCCAGAGCTGATAACCAACTAGAGGAAAACAAAGGAAGACAGTTTTTGCTCTTTCAAAACGCCTTCAGGTTTGGATCTTTGCATTTATCAAGCCGAAGCTTCTATTTTAATAAGCTGTGAGTATCATTCTTGAATATTTTTTCATTTACGTCTCATTAACACCTTCCCAGGTTTGTAAGAAACAAAGCCAAGCAGTCCACCTGAGGAACAGCCAGTCCCTGGTACGCACTTTGCCGCATAAGACTTCCAAGAAGTTTAAATAACATTTTTCCAGACAAGAGCGTAACACACGACCAGCAACAGACAACGTAAGCGCTACTGGGAAATCGTTACTTTCAGCAGCCCCTGCTGTCTCCCCTCCTCTGAGCTGAGGATTCAGTCTGCCCAGCAGTGCCAGTACCACTGGCTGTCTTGGGACTCTGCCACGCACCCCTGATAACTCTGTGCTTTGGTGAAAAGGTAGAACCTGAGGAGCTTTTGAAATCTCCCGTATCTCAACTATTCCCAGGCTTTCCGAGGTGTGCTGTAGGTATCTTAAGAATCTCTACCCTGTGAAGATCTACATATCCAATTCTGCAAAGGCGGTCATCATTCTGGACCTGCTCTGAAACCATGAAAGACTCAGCAAATTCAAAACAGGGAAGAGCTACAGGAAAGAGGACTGGTGCAACTACAGTGCCCTAGTGAAGACCCAGCCTCAGGAGCTCCTGAGGTGATGGGCCACTAGAGGCTAGTCATCCCATAGCCTTGGAGGGCTACGAAATACCTCTCCTGAAACAACACTGTAAATGAGTAAAGCACATAGAACACCACTAGAATTTTCTGAAGGAGAGCCTAGCTGCAAAGATTAAAGAACTGGGACTAGCAGGTAAGCCTAAATGCTAGCAGCTGGAAGCCCACCTGAAAGTAGTAACATTCTAGTATCAATACTCAAGGCTACAGTATAATCTCAGATCTCATTCTCTAGGTTCACTCCAATGATAATAAACCAATGACTGACTTAAATTCAATGGAAATGACAAAATATATAGCTTCGTGTTATTACACAGGAAAGCCACTAAGGGAAAAAGAGACTGATTTTCAGTTTACAAATCAGCAGCAAAAGAGTGCAGTTGCAGAAACATGTAAACAAAGGCAAAACCCACCAAACATCCACTTACTTTCCTGGATCTGGCATTTGTGTGCAGAGCAAACGCAGTGACTGAAAGCTCTTCCGGATAGAATGAATGTTTGCCATTCCCATGAACACTACTTCACAGTTTGGGTAATATTCTGTAGGGAAATATCAAGAAAGAGAGAAGGAACTAAAAACCATTCTAAGTTTAATTTCTAAAAGAAGCTTTTTCATAAAAACAAACCACTTGCTGTGGACAGATGAAATAATTTGTTTACGAATATTCTGTAAGGAGAAACTAGTACTTGGAGTTCGGTAGGTATTCCAGATATTACAACACAGCATGGCAAAACAGGAAAGAGTTAGCAAAGTGTTTGTGTATTTATTTTCAGTGTTTCACTTCACATTACGAAAAGGCGAGTACAAACTTATGGCAGTAGCAATATTGTTGAGCTTGAGATTATAGAACGTTTTTAAAAAGACTGAAAAACATCGTAAGAGAACACGAAGCATAAATGATATTTAACTGATCGTTATGGATGTTCTTTAATGCAGTAAACTAACGTATATTTTTATACAAGTCATATTCCTTTTCCTAATCACTCAAAAAGGCTGAAAGATTGTTTCATTCACTGCTTGATTCTGAGTTTTTCTATTATGAAGAACAAGCCTCACATGAGTGAGAAATACTCAAAGCTCAGGAAAAACAGATGACAGTCAGAATTACTGAGCCTGCCTTCAGGTGTTGCTATGGGATGTACGCAGGCAACTCTGCTCTGGGGGGGAGGCAGCCACTGCACAGCCTGGGCCTGCCACTCAGAGGGAGCACCTAAGAAGATGCATAAAAATACTAAACAGATAGTCCTTCCTATGTTTAGTTTTCCTGTCCTGATGCTTCTGTCTGTATAAAAATAATGACTTGCTAGCTAAAATGACCTTTTCTCCAAGAGAAAAAAAAAAAAAAAAATCAGGATTCAGAATAGGGGATATTGAGTGCTTGCACAAAAAAACACAGTATTCTCTTCAAGAGCATGTTTTATTTAATTTGATTTCTCAATTGTATCAGCCCAACAAATTCCGGTTCAAACCAGAACATCCTGTTAGTGATGGACTATGTAACTTCAGTCAGAAGTGACTGGCAGTATCGGACAATTCAAGCATTTTTCGGTCTTTTTACTGAATCATGTTATATATAGTATCAAGTGCAACATAAATGAGATTTTTATACACAGACAAGGAAGCAAACTTGGCAATACCTGGAGAAAACTTATCAGCAGAAAGAAAGCACTTAATGCGGGTCAAATTTATTGAAGGTGACAAGCTCCTTGGAAGTTTTCTACAAAGAATTCAAGAACCAATATATAGGAAGAAAATTAAACTTCCTGTATACTCAGCTTTTCTGGTTTGAAATTTTACTCTCTGATGAGGAGTTTAGTAGTGTTCAAGTGTTAAATGGGAAATTCATCTTTTCTTACTGGTGGTTACATATCAAAGTGCAGCTATTGCAGCAAAGACCAAAACAAGAATTAATGGTCTTGTTATCTTATCTACAGTTTTTCTGTCTGGTATATTTTCTAGACTCTCCACCCATGGAATTTTAACAGGCTGCATTCATATCCAATAGCAACCATAAAATAACATCTTGTTTACAATACCAACAATTTACAAGTGCCAAAGAACACAAAGTGATAATTGCAAATGTATTACAAATACGAGATAAATCAGAAATTCAGATGCTTTGGGTTACAATATAAATGCTGAAAAATGTTTCAGCTTTAGAAAAATTGCTGAACAGTTGTATTCTGCACAACCATTCTAGAAAACGATTGTCCTCTACAGTTGGTGGATTTTTACAAGTTTGTTCAGTTTTTTTTCTGACATTTCCAGCACACTGGACACCTTTGTCTCGCTCTAGTTTATATATTTGACTCAGCAGGGGAAAGCTAATCAGCATATTCCACACAGTTCAGCATTTACCGAACACTGTTACCAGCTGGTTTGATGCTCTGAGAAACAGACTTAATTAACAGACAGCTAAACCTGTCCTTTTGAAGGGCTGCGTGACAGCTGCCGTGATCGAGACCTTTCGTATAGATGAACAGTACTTGCATCCATGCAGTCTGTTAAATACGCAGTACTGAAGGATATCAGTGTAATTATATCTGAGCAAATCTTTTTGATTAACTTAATAGAAAACTAAGAAGAAACACTGCTTACCTGGGCACTCACAGCCTCCGCCTTTGGCTCTGTTTGCCACAGCTGCTGCGTAAGATCTTGCGTCTAAGATCAAAAGCTTCTGAGGCTGTATTGCCAAACTCTCCGCTCCCGAAGCATTAGAGATTGATGAATCTGAGGAAAAGGATACGCAACGGATAAATAAAAGGTTACTTCTGACATTGTTTACATCAGTGGTTCACTCAAGCCCCACAATGCATATGCACTTGCACCTACAGAAACTGGAGAATGCCTGATTAAATACAAAGGATTGAATGGTACGGTACATATAAGAGCTCTGTATAAAAGCTCTGCCCTTTACAGAAAAGGAATAGTGACAAACTTACCAAATTCCACATCAGAGAGGTCGCCTCCATTGGAAAAATCTCTGGAACAATTTCCGTTCATTAATTTGTTACTGTTGGACCTCGAATCTGAGGCGCAGGCTTTGGCGACAGACTGGACAAGGTGTTCATCATCTGCATTCCTCCAGCCCCACCAACTGACCTCGGGCTGTCCACAGCGGGAAATAACTGCTCCATTACTCTGGTGTCTGAGAAAAGAATAAAAAGAACAGTGGTGCATTACTTGAAGGATTAGATTGAAAAACACAGAGGGCATGAAAAATTAAATGGTGCGCTCCAGTAGCTTAATTCCTGTTGGGGACCCTCTCTACCCTTCAGCAGCTATCCTCAGCCGGGGATTCAGTGGCAATGCATTCTGTGTGCTTCCCTCCAAAATGCTGACTGTGACCACACAGTCACTGAAAGGTGAAAGTCAAAGCCGAGGTCAGTAAAAGAAAACAACACATTTCCTTGCTCAACATTGTTGCCTGTTGGCCAGTGAAAGCTGGGGAACATTCTGAAAAGCAGATGAGGCATTAAAGAGGTATTCAACACCTGCTGGCTAGTCAGGTCTACAGCTGTAATACCAGAGTAAAGTTCAATTTAACTCATGCTAATTTTAAAGCTAGAAGACAGGAGTAAAACCAGATTCACTTTTTGATGAGTTTTTTAAAATCAAAACATACCATTAACTAAATATGAAGAATGTTACAATTTTGGTAGGAAATACTGGCAGAATTTGGCACACCTTCTGCCTGATGATGTCTAATGGTAACCCAAAAGCTAACTCTTGTACATCAATGTTTCTAGGCATCACCCATGAACTGCAGGAGGCAGTCCCTGAACACTGCAGAGCTGTATCTAGAAGCCTGTGTATAGTAGGTATTGTTTCACTAGCTAGAAGAAGAGCTTTTTGCGTCTCAGGATGCCAAATATCTGCAGTTGTCCTCATTCTGAAGTTTGGTATGAGCATCTGTTGGAAAGTGAGTGGCTCTGGCACCCCCTTTTCAGCTGCTTCTCCATCCCTCTCTCCCACACTCTCTTCAGGCAGCGTTTCACCTGCTGCCCCTCAAACACCGACCACGTCTAGCAGAAGAGCACCAAGGAGCTGATGAAGAGCAACAGTAGCTCTTCGATGTGCAAGCACCAATGTGGTGCCAGGCTGGTAAATAACAAAGTCCACAAGCAAGTGAATTTCGCTACAGACACCTAAGTAGCACTGAAAAAATAAATACTGTTTATTAACAGCATATTTTTCTTCTAAAATGGGATATAAATTGCAAGCACTCTATATACTGATAAAACTTCAGAGGACTGGCAAATGGAGTACAGAGATGAGTCTATCAGTAAAAATATACGTCAGGGAGACAACTGAAGAAATGACTTAACTTGAACATAGCTATCTTCTTATGGGGAATGAAAACAAAAATAAATAGAGGTTTTTTTTTTTTTTTTAAATGTCTGAAGAGTTAGTAGTTATTTTCTTAAGTTTGACCTAGCTTTTTGTACTACACAAAGAACCGATTTGAAATAATTAAAACATATCCAACCATTGCGAACATACTCTGAAAAGGATTTAAAAACTCTCCCCTATAATCTATTATACAAAAGAGTAAAGAGTATGGAAACATATTATCACTGTAATTTCACTTACTGCCTCCATGCTGGCACATCCCACTGCTGCCAACAGAAAATTTAATTCCTCATTCACTGAAGTGTTTATATCTGGCATTAACAACACGCTCTCCTTGAGACCTTCACTAGCAGTACCCTGAATTGAGAGGACCCCAGCCATGACAGGAAAGGAAGCCCAGCCGCCGCTCTGAGGAGCTGCAGGTGGAGTGGCCAGAGCAGAGAACAGACACAACTTCTCTCAGGCCACATGGCAAGTCTATCATACTGAAGAATGGGACACCTAGAAATGTTTACTGCCTGCCTTATGTCCCGTCTGAAATACCCTACCACTTACCCACACACTGTTCTCCATTTAAACAGCCTGCAGATATACAGCCCCTTAAGCAAAGGTGCCGCCAGGCAATGCCATTCCTGCTCAGGAGTCCCAACAGAATCCATATTTATAAAGTATGCACATGCCAATTACAGTTCCTATACGTTACTGTGCAGCAAAGGATTTCAGAGTCTTCCTGCAAACAAACTGGCCATCTCGGCTTCATGTCAACGAAGAGTTGTTTAATTCTCTCTGATAAGGCAACAAGCACAGAATGGCAATAGGTAGCTGAATCTTTAAGAAAATTGAAAACAGTCGACTTGGACAGCCCTGAACAGGAAAAAAGCTCACCCAAACCTATAAATCTTTAGCTTTTTTACCTCTCACCACTCTAATAAATGTTTATGGAGGTGTGACAAGCTGGTTTATAATTTGTTGTCAGAGCTGTCAAGGCCCCGTCAGGTGCTGAGCAGCACCACCTCCGCAGCGGCACTGCGGGGCGCAGCAGCGGGCGGCAGCGGCTGCCTCGTCCTCCTCATTCAAAAGCAACACTTACATCGGGTTAAGGCTCCCTGTTGCAAAAACTTAAAATTGTAAAATAGGTTGTGATATGATATTTTAGGTATTTCACAGCTCTTTTGTAACTGTTTCATATAAAATTCCTCCACTGAGAGGAAGCAACGGACACACTGCATTAACTGAACCAAAGGAAACAACCTGAATGCCACAGCACTTAAACCAGGTGCCAGCCCACTGCATGCAAAGGAAAAGGTATTTCTGCTGAAATTAATAGCCTTCCAGAAACAGCTCTATTGATATCAAATTAGTTCAGAAAAAAAATACATGCCAATCACTGAAAGGCCACCTAGTTCCCCGCTACGCTTGCACAAATAACAAAAGAAAATAGAACATCATTATACGCGTAAGAAATCTATTTTGAACACTCGGATAAGCTCATTTATTTTTCCATATGTTCTCCCAGATTTCATTACTACCTGCCAGCAGAATCATTTTCATAGCTTTGTAAATAGTTATATTTTCATCTCCCGGTTCTTGCCTCCCATTTATACCACAAACAATAAAGAATCATTAGGCCAAAAGTTGAGTTCATTGATAGCTGTGAAGCCTTAACACTCCTAAGCCTGCACAAATATGCGATGTTCAGATGTACCAGCAGAAATCAGCAAACAATTCTATTTACGGTAATGTTGGAGGTCTGAGGAATCACACTCATTCCAACTGGTCTGGCCATGGGAACAAAAAATAACAAATAGCCTAAGTATAATTCTGAGGTCCCTAGAGATAGAGCTGGAGATAAGATGGTGTCACTCAGATCACAATAACTGAAAAAAGATTTAAAAACATTGAAGCAAATCCACCACTGAAAATTTCCTAACCCTCTAGAGACAAAGCAACATGCAGCCTCCTGCAAAAACTGAAGAGTAAATCACCATTAGATAACTATAAAGCCCTTTATAAAGCATTGTATAACTGTATGATGTACGGTACACCTCTGCACATGCTTCATCTTCCTCGCATTCAAGCAACCTTTTGAGTACAACAATAAATCCACCAAGTCCTTGTAACTACAAAGACAGGGAGGACTAATGAAGGTTTGAATAGCTCCCTCCACAGCATTACTGAACTACTAGTACTTGCAACTGAAAAAAAAATCATTGCTGCACTTCAAAGATAATTTCGCAAGTAGAGTACAGGGCAATATTCTGTTTACCTTTGCTTCCTGCACTGGCAGAATTGCTGCCTGCATGCGTAATCACCTTCAGCAGTGGGCAAGAGACACCTTCAACACAGCTAATTTCCAAGTAGGTTCTCATGAGTTTAGGACACTGTTTATATAATGTATGCGGTCCTCTCTATCAATTTGCCACAAAATCCAAAAAGACTTCTCCCCAACACTGATAGCCTGGGACCGAAACAGATAAGCTACAAAAAAAAACACGTCACAGGCCAGATTGATCTACATAAATATGTGCCTAGATTTTAAAAAACTGTAAACACAGAAAAACTGCAGAAGCTGGGTGTGAGATTCTTCTAGAAATCTGATCATAAAATAGAAGCAACACTCCTGACAATCCAACCTCAAGTTGAGCATTTTTGAAGCTTCCCTCTGAATTCAGCCTGCTCAGCTTCTCAGCCTGTACATATTCTCATAACTCCTGAATGCTTTACAAGGACAGACAACGAGGTTTTTTGTTGCCAAATGTCTGTGTCTCTTGTCTCTCTCTGTCCCAGTCTTCAGCATCTGAGATGTTATTGGATGAATTTTTTAAAAAAAAATCATTACTACATTTCTTCCCCTGAGGTAAAGCAAAAAGAGCTGATTTTTAAAAATGTGATCAATAATGAAACTAATAGTCCCAAAATCATCTTCAACAGATAAAAAATGCTGAATGAGCTTTTGTACCTTACTCCTCCAAAAGTAAGAATAAAAGCCATTTTTATGGCAACATATACAGAAAGGAAACTATACATGGATTTCCAATCACACGGATCATCAACCACTAGCTGATGTGAGTTCTATTAGAGTGCAGAATGATGAACTGGGTGTCTTGAAAAATCTATTACTAAATGTCAAGATAAGGGAAAAGAAATCAAAAAAGAGAAAAATGTTTCTCCCACCGATTTTAAGATTACAAATGAAAAACTATGTGGTAATTCAACATACGTAGTCTCATGAGAACGGCAGAAAATTGAATGCCAGGGATTAAACAGTTTCAGTCTATGAGATCTTTTGAACGTTTAAATTACTCTCCCATAAATCCCCCAGAATGCAAGCTGCACTCAAGAATGCAAAGATTTCTTTCTCCTGTACAGTGATGAGGAGGGATGCTTCCCTGTGTTAAGTGTTCTTGCAGGTGAGGAGTCTCCAGTTATGTGACAACTGCATAAAAGCCACAAAGTGGACTGAAATGCAATATTCAAAAGTTGGACACAAAGCCATACATAAGTTACACTATTCTCTTGTATACATGTATGTAATGCACATGCTTTTATGTACTACCATAATAATAAAATACCTTAAGTCTTTAAAAATTAGCATATGCAGGAAAGCATTTTTTCCCCCTCAAAGAGGATAGAGCAATTCCTTAACATTCATAAAAAGACTATGCTAACCCCTTTGTTATTTAGAAGAGAAAGGAGAAAAAATAGGAGGATTTAAAGGTAACGGTCTCCTGCACAAGCTAATTTGTTCTTCTTTCATAGAACAAGAACTCTTAAGCTAGGTAAATAATGTTCTGTGACCTACTCTTAACTCTTGCACACTTGCTCCTCCAACCCAGGCCATATAAATTCGTCAACTTTACTGCTCTCTAAATTTAGCTTGCCACCCAGAGAACAGCTTTTCCTTTTTGTCTATATAGAAGGAACGGGTGGCTAGACAGACTTAATGGAATTATCAAGTATTCATTATCTTTTTAATCCCCTCCTCATCTGATTTTTTAGATTTTAAAAATTTATGGGAGGATCACTACACCAGGAAAGTGGCCAAGGTATTAAATGACAGCTTCCAAATATCTCGGGGGGGGGGGGGAAACAACCAACCAACTAACCAAGAGATGCTGAAATATATTTTTTTGCTAAAAAACTTTCAAAATCAGTTCCTCAGAAAAGCAATTCTGTTATGAAAAATTACTGGACTCTGCTTTAATCAGACAGCCTTTTCCTTAAACTATCTAAAATATGTAGATAGAGCTAATATACATTCGTTTGTAATTTGAGTTTTGTATCTCCCTTTAATAATTTTAGTATTTGTCCTTGTTTATACTGCAGTCTGAGTATTAGCCAGATGATTAGAGAAACATCAAAGGAATACCTAGCCAGAGATGCCATTTATCATTTCTTCCACTGTGCTGATGTCTTCGTCTTCCATTTTTTCATTTTCATATTAAAAAAAATAAAATCATTCTTAATTGTGGTGACCTCCCTAGGAATGACTTGCAGGAGATGCAAATGCTGGGTGCTTCTACAGTATGTGTTTGGAATTAAAACATACAAACCATTATTCCCACTCAGAGTGAATGTGTAGTAAATCCGCCTTACTTCATTTATGGCTTGACAAGGACCGAGCACATGCTGCTGCCTCACACATCCTTGGAGTTTTGCACAGGTATAAAACAATATATACAAAAGTAGCAAATGTAAAGACAAAGACCCCAAGCTATCAGGCCTAACAAGTTCTTTTGCTGCCAGTTAAATACAGGTCTGAATGTTTTCTCATGCAAGGGGTCCTGTCATCCTTGTTTGATATCTAAACCCTTAGGGTGGTTTGTGTTTTGTTCCCATGTTCTGTTCCATACACCACTTCTGGGATCCTTCCTGAGTGGAACAGCAGGATCCCACCCCAGACAGAGTCCCAGGGTGGATCAGCTTGGATGCTGCTCCACCAGGCAGCACGGAAGGGACTGGGCCACCAGGTCTTGTTGCCTCTTTGCAGCCTAGTTCTCTAACTCTACCCTAGCAGGTCCCGGACCTTCGTGTAGCATCCCTCCACATCATGTTATACATGCAAAAATACATCAAGATCCAAGTCAGACTGCTCTTTATTTTAAATAAATTGCAAAAATACTTCTAAAATACCTTCAACACTTTTGCTAAAGTCAGGCTCAATGAGGGGACATCTGGGGCCCAAAGGACCCTCAACACCTTTCATTACAAACTAGGATGCCCAGTTACATCTTATTTCAGCTTTTATTTGCTAGAACAGCCCATTTACAGTGTGGTGATAACTCTTCCACCACCAAGAGCCTCACCTGTACACAACAGCAGGGATACGCTTCCAGGACCGAAAGCTTGCCACGCTCTCCAGCTCTTTATCTGTGATCCAGGCAGGAACTATGATTTCCTGGGGGTAACTACCACACAGCCTGTGAGAAAAGTGGTGCAAAGCGTTGAACGTAAGCGATAAAGCAGTTACATGCTTCCCAGACAACACACACAATTAAGCAGTATAAGCAACCTGACAGCTGTTCATCTCAGCAAACTGTCATTTTGTTAATTCCTCTTTCACTGTACATTAATAAACTCCTCCTGCCCATATACAAAAAGCACTGAACACTGAAGTGCATAAATGCACTCCAGAATTAGAAGATTCAAGCTGGTGTTTTCTTGGGAAATTTGCATGTAGGCAATTTTTAACTCCAGCTGCTGAAATAAACTGGACCACAGAAAAGAAATTCCACACCTCTCCATGCTGAAGAATTAGCCGTTTGATTTCTGGGTTACAAAACACAGAAGCAGAACCACCCTGAGCTACTGGATTCAAGACAAAATTCGTATAAGTGTGGAAAAAGTACACTGGATAATAAACCCTCGCTGAAGGGGGCAATCTGAGTGCACTGGCTTACGTTTCACTTGCTAACTGGAACTTTCTTCTACTAGATGCACCTCCCACTGCCACTATTTAACTAAGGAAGCCATGACTGCCAATGAGAACAGTGCAAGCAGTCAGTATTGACTGCAATATACTGCTGAGTCATAAACCAGTTCATCCCCAGTCCGTCCCCTTAAGGAGATGCATTTACTGCACAAGGAGGACAGACAGGAACACGTGTCTAAGACCGTTCTGTTGAGAAAAATGTATCAGTCATCCTGAAGAAATGCTCTTTCCTCAAGTGCTGGGCACAAGAAGGAAAGGAGTAGTTTGTGTCATTCATCTTCCATATGACTTAAGTTTTTTTTCCTTTTTCTTCAGTATTAAATATGTAAAGGATAGCTATTTTTTTCCCCATGATTTTTAGAGACCAAGACAACTATTCTTCTTGCACTGACACCAACTACCAGCTGCAAGTCGTTATCCTGCAAAAACAGAGCAATGAAACATGTTTCATCACAAAGTGTTACGGCTAGTTTTGCTCTGAATTGGATTAGGGATCAGCCAGTACACTCTGTCCTACCAACCCTGAACCCAAGGAACACTGTTCTCTGCTCCAGCAGCTAGAGGACATTTGTCTGTGCTTTCAGGACCACATAAAGTGTTTTCTTTTATCAGGATCTAAAAGCTTAACTCTTCCAAACAAACTTTTTTTTTTTTAATACAAGTCTTTGTGAGAAGTTAAAAATTAAGACATGATTTAAAAAATGGTTTCTAAAAGTCAAACTCCACTCTTTGCTCACTTAAAGCTTTCCTTTCTCCCATTAGAATGTTTAGTCTTTAAGAAGTCATCCAGCAAGCACATCAAAATCTGGTATTTCTACGCCTACAAAAATTGTAGGAGCTGATATAGTAAATAAAACTTTTTTCTATAAAGCAAAAAATTTTTCTATAAGCAACATTTTTCTATAAAGCAACAACAAAAAAAAAAAAAAATCACAATTCTAATTGTCCTTTATTAATAAAGAACTGTAGAACTTGGAAAAAGTTCCAGTAATCTGCTATAGCAAAATTGGTGTTTTGAAATGCCATTTGGCTGTGAATCAGCAGCCCACATAACTTACTTGTATTTCTCATTGATGTTGGAAATCCTCCAGGCATTGTTCATATCAAAACCCATCCGCTCCACTTCATTTTTAAACCTTGAAGTTACATGTTCTCCTGGGTATCAAAAGCAGAGAGAGAAAATAAATGCAAAGTAAGTAGTAAGATTCCTACCTTTCAAAACAGTCAGAGGAAAACAACACTGCACTCATTAAAAACTGAAAAGAGAAAGGAACAGTCCAAAATCACCATTTACATTTCACAATCCTATTTTGAAAATCTGTATCAGGAGAACCACAGCCTGTGCTGATGGCTCTCCCTGGTCAACTCTCCAGAAACATCAAAGTCCCTCAAGGACTTCTCTGAAACGACCAGCTTCTGTAAATTCATGTAAGAAACAATAACGCTGCAGACCAGAGCCAAGCACATCAGCAAAAGCAATTTAGATCCACAAGCAGTCTCATAGTGGGAAAACTCTAGTAGTTTTTCCTTTCTGAAGTTCAGAAGAATTTTGTATAATTAGAAGAATCTGAAGCTCTGGTCTGACCAATACATGAAGGGGTAATACATGGAATGTGGTCTGGATCTTGGGCAATCTCCATTTAGTATGCAATTTCAGCCACAGGTTTCCTGTATGACTGTAGGCAAGCCCTGTAATTTAACGTGCATCTTAGTTTTCCATCTGTAAATTGGACATTATTCCTCCATGACTCATGTGGAGATATGAAGATAAAATACATAAATGATTGTTTGGCACAAATATCAGTCACAAGATCCTCACAAATTCCTGGATTAATATATTAAAGGAACTGGAACAAGCTCCGTTTATTTCCTAGACACTTTTCTTAAAGTATCAAAATACAACTGAAAAATATACAATGGCAATAAAGAATAATTATTCTGATAGACAGAAAGTCTAGAGAATTAGAAGGTACTCAATCAACATGTAGAAGAGAATAATGTACAAAACTACCAGGTTCACAGAGCTAAGAAATGTGATAAATTCAATGAACATGTGAGCAACACGAGAGAAACTTATTCTGAAAATCTGTCCGTTGCTTGTCTCTTTAAATTACTGTATCATTAAATCATGAGGCAGAGCATCACCCAACAGGGGTAAAAAAATCTGTTGAAAAAATAATGCTTTAAATATTACATCTTTCCATTATATATTTCAGAAAACCCTTAAAGTCTTTCAATACACAAGATACATGTAAATACATATTTATCTGAAAGATGTAAACACACATATAAAATTTTTTTACGTGATGGTACAGAACAATGAGAGATAAATATATAGAAATAGGTCAATTAAGAATAAAGATAGCAGCCTAACTACAGGACTTAAATAGCTATGAAAGAAAAGCTATAATGTTATTAATTCCTACAGGTCAGATCATACACTGAAAATGGTACTTTGCAAATCCAGACATGCTTTACAACATGGACAATGTGCAGGAGATGTGCATAATGAGATTATTTTTTTTACACTTTCTGAAAGGTAAAATGTGAGAATGACACTGTGTGCAAATGGAGAATATTCATTGTTTAAGGCATATGGCAGTAAAATCTACTGACCTTCATCACTTATTCCCTTTACATCATGTCACTGGTACAACAGTACCATAAAAAAGAAATAGTTCTGCCTCCTGTGTCACGCATTTTCTGCAGAAGGCTAGTCTCAGTATTACACAGCCACTGTAGCTCTGCTCTACCTTCCCTTTCACCAGATCAATTAGGCTGGAGCTTGCCAACAATTTCCCGCTTCTCACGTGAACCCTCCATGAGCCTGAATTTATTCTGTTCTAGCCACCTACTCAAATAGATCAGCTGCTTGAGTCTGTTTTACACAAGCCGGAGAGATGGCAGCTCTGTGAGGAGCCCTTTGATCCTTTGTCAAGCGCAGAGGTGAAACTGGGACAATACATTCCAGCCAGACAACAACCTCTGTCATGTCCTTCCTTAACAGTGACATTTTTTTTTTAAAATCCTTTTATTGGAACAGCAGCACGGTCTTGCAGCACTTGAGAATGGGCTTTACTATCAGCTGCTTTGAGGAATAGTCATTAATACTTGCACTACATCCTTACGGATTTTTCTGGATAGCAAATGAGAATACTGGAAATACTCCCAATCATCAATGCCGCAAACTGCTGGTGGGTTTTAAGAAAAACACATAAAACTATGAAAATGAAATATTCTGTTTGATTTCTCCCTACTACTGTGTATGTCATGAAATACTAGATTCTCCTCTGAGAAATGAAACCCTAGCCTTAACATTTTGCCCATTTCTCCTCAAAGGCTGGTATTAAGAGGCATTTTGAGCCAAGATGCATATTTTTGAAGCATCCCAATCAACTCTCAAAATCAGAGAAAATGCAAGCTATACATTTTGTGGACTTAGGCCTTCTGACTGTAAAAGCTGATCTTGTGAGCCACAGTTCATATCTCCCATTACATGCATTGATAATAATTTAGGTATTTTCCCAGAAGTTGATACTTAGATAGATTTTGAAACAATTTAGTATTTTCATCTGTATCTACCAAATACCGGGCTACCTGGATGTAAGAAAATAAATTACAATGTCTCGGGATTCACTTCAATTACATTCCCACAGATTTACTTCAACTATAATTCAACTCTTAGAGAGAGAACATATACCACCAGAAAAAAGCAAGCTAGAGGGAAAAAAAAGTTACTAAAGAAAATTATTTGATAGACACACCTAAAAAAATGTGATTGCTACAAGTTAATAAAAAGATAAATGTTGATTCCCATCCTAACCTCGTGTTAGGCTGAAGCTGATCTGTTTCAGTGAGGAAGACAAGAAGGACTACAAGGACACTTAGCAAGCCATCTACATGCCTGCTATCTTCCAGTCCCTGAATTTAAGTAGGAGGGAAAAGACCTGGGTTTCTCCGAGGAATTTTTTTGCCTTTTTCCAGTAACTGCTAACAAAGTGTGTAAAGTGCAGCAACAGGAACCAGAAATATGGAGCACCTCCTCCCACTTGAATTTTACCTGCTGACTGCTCTTCCCTGGGTGCCAAAGAGATTAGTCTTTGCTCAGCCCCAGACCAGCTCCAGTAACAAGGACAGAATCACACTAACATTCCACAACCTGGTGACTGCGACGCTTTTCTCAGATATGTGAATTGTGAGTGAAGAGAGCCTCAGATTGGAGAGGGCCTGGAACTCAGATTTCCTTATATTCAAACAAACGCTATAACCACCATCATCCCAATTTTTAGCTTTTATTTACTTGTGGGCTTCTAAAACTTTCCAGCAAGGATATTTCACTAAAATAGGTCGCTGTCTTGTAGCTGTGAATGAACCTCAGCAGCAGCTCAGGGACTTCCTTCTCCTTCACCTCCTGTTCCTCAACAACCATGCTGAAGACCACTGTTCTAGGCAATTACAAAAAACGTGGGCACCATCAAGACAAAATGTTTGAGATGGAAAGTTGCTGCCACTGTGATAAAGCGTTATTAGTATCATACATGACTAAATCAAATCCACCACAATAATTTCCTCAGGATATTCAGGTACTGCTTTGCGTATTGATTCCAAAATAGCTATGGTGAGAACTAATCCCTCCTTTGTTCAGACAGAACACAACTCAGACTGTGCAGCAGACATGCAAGACATTAAAGGACACTTTGCTGTAAGCGAAGGTATGCTATACCTATATAATTACCACATACAGTGTATTCAACAGCGAGTGAAAAAGTGCAAGAACTTACATACAAAAAATTTTCCATACTGGAATTTTCTAGCTTCAGTTTACAACAGCACAGACTGAACTTGCTTATATCTTTTTTTGAAAGTTCTGGATTTCTGCAAACGGACAGTTACTAGTCAATGCATTTGTGATGATCCCTGAAGTGTCTCCTCATACCTGGCCGACACAAATCCCCATGCTGTTCCTTTTCACTAGCATATACCTCCATACACCAAGCATGATAGGCGAATGAGAAGAGGTCTTCTATCTTCGAAGGAGGGCGGATGGCATTGTTCAGTCGCTTAAGCCAGTCTTGACACTGCTCAAAAGTAGAAAACTGACACCTGTATCAGAAACAAACATTTATTTATTAATTTTCAGTAAAAGATGCCAGACTAAGATCTGACAGGCTGATTATGAAATCATCTGTGAAAGCAAAAGTAAGAACAATCATGTTAGTGATAACTTAGTTCTGCTTCCAAGTACATTCTAATCGATAGGAAAAGTGAAACCTTTTGAACTTAGTAAATACACACGCACTTAGCAAGTCAAAATCAACTGTAAGCAGGAAAGTAATGTTCTGTGATTGTGAATAAACCAACAGTATGTCCTACTGGTCATAAATGAGGGAGACATTTATGCATATGTTTACTACAAAACCAAGGACAACATCACCGAGTTCAGTCTGCAACTTTTCCACAATTAAAGACAGGAATGCGTTACAGCCACTTGCTGACCGGTGGGGTTTCACATGGAAACCTCACAGAACCATCACACACATTATAATCTATGCATCATATGCCCATAAACAAGACCACATTTTCCAGACATAGGAGAAATATCCATTTGGTTAATATACTTAATTTGAGAATAATGAGGACAAACTCCAGTGTCTGAAGTCTTAGATTATTCCCCTACCTCATATGCTAAGATTATCTTTCTGGCCTTGGTGGGAAGCACTGTGTTTTTGAAACTCAGCTTTGACTAACATTACAGACTAACAACTAGTGAGAACATTCCCTGTACAGGAGAAACTAATCTTCAGAGCAGTACATTAAAATTACAGTAGCTTGTCTTTCAAAGAGGATTCCTGGACCCTTTAGAATAAAAGGATGGAAATCAGATCAGTGATTTATTTTGCTCCAACAGATTTCTTCAAGATTTTTTTGTTATAAAATATTCATCAAGTATTTACATTCCGCTCAGTCTGTGTTCTACTACACTCATGGTTAATGACAGCATCTGTATTCTCTGCAGGCAGGATTTATTACCCCTACCTGCAAATATCTAAAAATCAATCAGTGGAAGGAAAAAGACATGTCCAACTCATGAAACATGTCTAAATAGCTGCGAGGAACTGCAGCCTGGAGGTGTTTATTTCCCATCACTGACTATAAAAGCAAGCTGAGACTACCAGCTTAAACCAGGTAATTCTCTATTAAATATCCATAGTCAGACAAGATACGCCTCACCCTGAAGACTCCGTTTCCTTTGTAAATTCTTTTAGTGTTGCAAATAACAAGAACTATCTTCACTTGAGCCCTGTTATCCAAAACACACGCTACTTTGTTCATGAAAAAAGAACACGAACACGTTCTGAATCTGGTATCTCAGCCCCATGCTTCATGATCTTCCAACTACCAGTGTCATCAAGTACTGATTCTCAGAGATGCAATTTTTAAGGGAAATTCATAAGGAAGGGCATAAATACCAATAATTTGTATTCATTCTACAATTGAAGACAAATAACAAATTAACGTAGAGAGGAAGGGTGACTTTTTTAAATGTCAAGAGCTACAAGTTAAGAGGAAGTTAAATATTTAATTCAAATTAAACTAAATATTACCTCTAAAGTAAAATCAGTCCTCATCAAAATACAGCATTTCAGGAAGCAGCTGGTCTGTTAAACATTCTGAGTGCTCAGATATGACTGGGGCTCATTTCATTATACAAAAGGTACTGCCAGCAAACATTTAATCAAAAAGAAATGTTCCTTTCTTGTTAATTAAAGTTTATAGATCAAAATTCATTTCTGCAGCAGAAAAGTAGGAAATAGCTGTAGCTCAGGCTGAGTAGCTCAGAGACTCCTGGGGCAGACTCTGAAGTCTGCTGAAGGACAGACATAAGTAAGTACTCCCTTCTACGTGATGCTGTCTACTCTACTGGGTTACAGACGTGGCTTTACCTTATTCCCTCACTTTCTTTTCTAATAGGCTACTATGTCTTAAGGTTAGCAACTGTACCCTCACAGCTTTTAAAAAGGCAGGGTGGCTGGTGCTATCCAGACCCAAGGTTTTATGTAGAACTGCACAAGCCCATACCTTATCCCCCCTAACCCCGAATCTTGATTAAACACTTTTCAAAATAGTATGTGTTTCAGTGGTTTTATCTAGTTCTGTATAACTAAAGCAATACGTTGTAAACTCACTGTAAGCCAGGGAAAAAAGTATGAATAAAATTAAGATTAGACACTTAGGCTCAGACCAAGGTTTGCTGCTATATCACAGCAAACAAAAACGCAGACCATCTCGCTCCCACCCTCTTTACAAAACTGCCCAGCTATCATATGTGAAATCAGACAAAAGAAAGTCTTTTGAGGGAAAGCAAATCCACTAAAGAAGAAAAATAATTTCCTTAAAACATCACAGCTGTCCACAGCATATGGAAAGCAAAGTTACCCCCCACTCAACACTCAGCCTATTCATACCTTATAACCTTGCAGTCTTTGCAAGTCAAGTGAAGTTGAAATATATCACGGCACTCAACACTTTCTATAAGCTGCAGTGGAACCTGCAATTAAAAAGATGATATAATTTCATTTCAAACAGCACTAACACTGTAATTCATTTGCATATCTCACAAGGATTTATTATAGGACTACATGGAATCCAAAAAGAGAGAGAAGAAAAAAAATGAAGAAAATTTAAGTATAACTATTTCAACAGCTCCAAAGCACAGCACCATATATCAGCAGTTTCAGCTCCATTGCCATATAGTCCAAAAACCTTAAGGGATCACATGAAAACAGCTGAGAAGACTGTAGCACTAGTGACAAATATGAAGGCAGGAAAAGCAGCAAATGTACAAGTTCCTCTGTCACAGAAGCATCTTTGTCTCTTCTAGGTCCGAATTCAGGGATCTCTGGAACAAAACTTTAGCTGCTGGTGTCAAAAATGAACCACTAAGCAAGATCTCCTTTAACACACTGCTGCAGTCTAGATGCTTGTTATATGGAAATATTCCATATTTTTTCTTCAGAGAAAAAAAAAAAAAAAAAACATTTAGCCTGTTTAGATCAACACTCATGAGCAAAGCAGACATATCTAGAGTAATAATGCCGAATCATTAATTTTTAAAGGTGTAGTTATATGCACTTGTTTTATGGCACATGTAACTATCAGGAGATTGATCAGGCAAAACGTGAAAGCACATGCAAGTATCTTTAAAGAGAAGAAGAAACCACAAGATAAAAATACTAGTTTTCATTAATATTTTTGGACCTTCACCCAAGACAGGCAAGTGTCCATTGTCTTAAATGAATAAAAGTTAGTATTCAACTATCTCACACATAATTGCCTGAATTCCAAACAGAGAATTTAGCTAACACCTGTAATAAGCATGAAGTGTAAAACCATTTGAATTGTTTATTAGATTACATTGAACATTACACAAGGCAACAAAACCTCTGCCATTGAGATCTTTCAATATTCAATGCAAAGGTTATCAGAGAAATATTCAAATGCTCTGTTCTCTTTGCCATCAGAGGAGTATGATCCAGCAGTTTAAGTTCTGGCTTGCAGCTTACAAGATGTGGCTGTAAGACCCTGCTCTGCCAGCACCTCTCCATATGGCTCTGGGCAAGTCCTTGAAGGTCTGGATCAAGGATCTGGGCTGAGGAACCAAGACAGCTTCTACTCAGGCACTACAAAGCTTAAAAAGTACCTGATTTCAGTGGAATGTAAAAAGGAAAGGGAACTAAAAACAGCAGGCAAGGGAAAGAGATGTCTCAGAACTACAAGCCACAAGAAAACTTACTCTGGGCACGAAGATGCCTAGTGAAAGCTAATGGTAAATGTTGTGCCTAGGAGAGCCATCAGAACTGCCACGGCTCTCGGGAAGGCAGGCACACAGCTCACAGCTGCCCCTCATGTTTCCCTGCCAACTCCAGAGTTCGAATCCGGAGTCCTCCTCTGAATGCAAAAGCTCAAATAATTGTCCAGAGCTCACAATCCCCAAAATACAACAGACAGGTATTGTCTTAACACTTAACCTTTATCCTTGTCCCTGTCAGACCACAGCCAAGCAGCAGTGCTGGACTCTCCTTCGCTGGAGAAAGTATTAACCCTCATCCCCCAAGACCAGCCAGGTTGGTACAGGTAAGTTGTTCTTTGTTCCTTTTGTTGTAACTGAGCCATTAAAGAACAGAAAATTCATGCACAAGGAGACTCAACAGACCAGTAGTTTGAATATTCAAGTAAGGCTGGAACTTGAATTTTGGTCCTTGTTTGCAGTATTATTACTGTTTTAAGATGTGTGATAGTTTAATATAAATTATGTAACTTGCAACATGAAGGGGTACATGAAATGAGGATTCCCTCCTGAGAAATAAGGCCCCTCTATTCGCCATCCCAAAGCTCCAACTGACTGCAGTCCCCTGCAGAGAATAAGTACTTAGATACCAATGTAACAGACTATTTAAATACATTACAGACAAGATCAGAAGTACTGTTGCTATAGTTAAATCCTTTTAACTGCTAATTTCTTCCATGCCTTCTCCTACTTGATTCTAGTTTACAAGGCAGATAATTTAAACAAAACTATCACAACAATTTAAGAGACTGGAACAGACCTCAGACTGGAGAATCTTCTGTTCTTTCTTCCCAACTGGACAGCCTCACAAATATGCCCAATAAGTTATTTAAATCTACCACTGACTTAGGTGGCACCAACATGCAAAGTAAAGTAACTTTCCCCAGTTAAGAGTCAAAACTCTAGAAGAGTTGGTTTTTTAGTCAAATGCTGCTTTGTCTGCTAATATTCTTTTTTTTTTTTTTTTTTTTTTTTTTCAAGCCCTCTCATGGCATTTTTTTCCCATGTCCATCTTCATTTAAGCAGTTCTTCACCTTGCTCTCTCCTCCTAGCAGTCTGGTTCTGGCTCCTCTTCCTCCTGTCTGCACTCTAATGACATATTAAGTATTCTTCTACTCCTGCACTGTTTTTAATTTTCTTCCTTCAAAGTCGCTTTGCTCTACGACCTTTCAATCTGCCTTCTGCTCAACAGCCATTCTTCTTTCTCTTGACACTCCACATGCAGCTCACCATCTACTTCCTCAGAATCTGCTGGTTTTTCTTCAGGGCAAACGTCATATCAATCTTTTTCATTTTCTTTTCTGGTCATAAAAATCTGTCCTCTGATCCCCTTGCATTTCAGTCTCCTTGTCCATTATTCTCCCAGTAAAATTCTGTAAAATTATCTGCCTTCATTCCCCATTCTTTCCAACTGATAACCTTCCAATTTCATTACGTTTTTCAGACTGATGCATGCAGCAAGTCAAACAACCAGTGCAGTTAGCTTGCTCTTGAAAGAGCCATCAATTTATTTGCAGGCACTTCACCATATAATAATGGCTATCGCAATAAAGCAGTGGAGAAGCAATCATGTTTGCTTTTATAAGAATAAACATGCATTTTTATCCAAGACCAATCACATCACATTATAGAGTACTGGAGCATCGTGCTCTTGCAGTATGTCTATTGACTGTCTCTTCTTTAAAATTATCTCATTTTAACAATAGCAACATTCTACAGCTCAAAATTCTCCTTTAGAAATTTCTTTACATTATTTTAATTACTGGAACATCTAACAGCAGTGCAAGATATATTTAGAGAAATATACTTCTGTAGCTGGAAAAAGCACAAGTTATGTTTATGCTGCTGAAACAACCCACCCCGTGGCTCAACCCTTGACCACACCACCAAGCGGTATGCCGTGGACCGTGGCCAGGCTGCTCTAAGCCAGCCCCTTCACGACGGACTATGCTATACATTACCCTATATACCTTTTGGCCTGACTCTCTCCAGGATACCATGTGGCACCCAGGGGCCACGAGCTGTAATTAGTACTTCTTGTTTTCCCAGTTTAGAGCCTGAAATAATGTCAGGGTTATGTTACTGGTTACTTTAAACAGCACAATGCCCAGGCTACGTGCTGTCCGTCCTGAAGCCAGGTATAGTAGGACATATGGAGGAACTAAGGATGCAAGGTCAGCTCAAAAGGTCTTCAAGGACTCTCCCAGGTGGAGGGAGTCAAATCCCTCCAGGTGTGATCTCATTCATATACTCTACAAGGAGTACCTGAAGCAAATTTTGCTTTTCATTACAACTAATTATACTCAGGTTTTGTCTTGAAGGCAATCATTTAGTCCCTCCTCTGCTTTCACAATTAACATGCAGGCAATGTGAACAATTAGAGCATCAGGAGCCAAGAACAAAACAAGGACTAAGCTACTGTTCAGCACAGATGAACCACAGCTGTGCTGCATATGTAAGGAAGGTATCAAACCAACCATTTTGCCATTGAAGGCCAAGGAAAGGAAAGCTCATACTAAAACTCAGTCACCAAGACTGAAAGTCTCCCTCATCTTCCTAGCATAACCTTTTTTTAAACTGTGTCCAAAATCTACTATTTGAAAGAGGCTACACACAAGTCCATGGTTTCATAAACTACACTAAAATGTTATTTCTCCCAGAAATGCAATGAGGCTACAGGGAGTAAAAATGATTACACAGAAACACTCACCAGCTGCAAAGTCTGAAATTTTCTTAAGGAAAGCCAATCAATAGCAATCAGCCTGGGAACCAAACTTCCCATGTGCACTGAGAGATCACTGTTGAGTCTGCATTTTTATCCCGTGGATAAATATAAGTCAACACTTTTGAATGTCATAATCCCTCCAATTTATGCATGGTCTACTGGATCTTTTGTTTTTGCATTTAAAACACCATGTTCCTATTACTACTGTGATCTAGGAAATTATCCATGGAAAAGATTTACACATACAGCCATTTTCTGCAGTGTTGCAATGTGAGCATTATCAACTTTTATATGTAATTATTTTCAAGCACAGGTGCACCAAGTGATCCAGTAGCATTGTGCTACTTACTGAGGTTTCACAAGCATCATTTTAACAGCCAGCCTATTGGATTTTAAACAAAAAGAGAACAGTGAAGTAAAACACCAGAGACCAGGAATCCATTTTAAACTAGATTCCATTTCCTTCATGCAGTTGCATTTACTAAGGGGCAAGTAGTTGACATGCATCCTGCTTTCTCTGGAGGACCATTTTTACCATGAGAATATCCCACCTACTTCAAGAGGAGATGCTTGCATAAAACAGCTGTATATTCAGACATGGGGAATCAATACAATTTTACAAGTACTATAATACAGATATTTGCTAAGAATCCTCTTACACAGAAGAAATTCTCTCTGCTGAGGTGCCAAGGTTATTAGTGTGGCTGGACTCAGTCAGGATAGTGATTCTTAGAAAATCATTCAAAATAATGAAAAACCCAACTCCTGACATTAGTAAACATTTATACATTTTTAAAAAGGTCTTCTTACAGGTGTTTTCTGAATAGCTCTAGCAATACAAAAACAGTAGGAAAGAATTAAGATGAACTCAATCAAAAATTATTCAGTGAAGATTCAATTTAGAAAATCACCATATGATCAATAATTTTGATCAACAATAACCAAAGTGATTATTACTCCAAAATTTAACCATTTAAATATGGTACCTAATTACTGCAAGTATGCTGTATCCTTAAATATATTCCAAATCCTGTCTGCCTTGGATTCCAGTAGAGTTCAGACTATATTATTAGTGATGGTCATGGAAGAATAATCTATATTCTGTTCTACCTCATACACTATCTAATTGAATCTTTCTGGTTAATGATGACATATGAAGCAGGACTAACAGCCTCGGAGGCATCAGACAGAGCAGGAGAGCAGAATACTGAATATGAAAATCAGGGAAGCAAAATTAGCGTGGTAATATTGACAAGCTTTTATGGACTCTTTCCTGAACACAAAGAACATTACTTAAGAAAACATCAATTCTTGGTATTGCTCAAAAATATTAAATTGAAAAATCTCAAAAATTAATACCCCCAGTTATCCTAAGGACAGATATGACTGCAAGTACATGCATTAGTGGCTTCTCTAAAAAAGTAACTCTCTTATACCCTGGCATTCCTCAGGACAAACTCTTGATTTCTAGGGCTACCCTTGTTTCTCGTGTCTCAGCTCGTTTTTAAATACTCAGTCCTTTGCTTTGTCAGTTCTAGTTGCCAGTTTCTTACAATATTCAGACTCTGAATTAAAAAAAATAACAGTAAGTAATACAATATAGATTTATTGTAGCAGGCCCCTTGGCAGAACCCAGCCCTAGAATTCTTGTTTGTATCACAAAGCAATCCTATAAATCACATGCCTCGTAACACATCATCTCTCTGTTGCCAGCAGCATGTAGAGATGCTCCTGGCTGGGCTGCACTTGAGGCATCTCAGCACCCAGCTGGCCCTTGGCTACCATTCCAAAGCATGGTGGCACCTAACTTAAGTCTCCAGTTATACTTCAGGATTGACTACAGAATAAGTGAAAAGTAAAGTTACTCTACCTCCGCATATGCAAATGCTCACATCGCTTCCTTTGTATGGTCAGCAGTGGAAGGTAATAGCCTTTAAATTTCCAATGCAATTTTTTGCCATAATTTTGAGTAATTGCCATGTTCATTAATAATACCTTTATCTGCTGAAAAAGCCCACACCATCACCAACTTCAGCACTTTAATGCTGTATGCAGATGTTCGCCAGCCTAGCAGACATGCCTGTTCAGCCTACTACACTGACAATTCATAAACTTGAAGTGATTATGATAAGTATTACACAGGCACATTTCAAAGTCTTGAGAGAACATAGCTATACAATTCGAGACAACATAAACCAGTAAAGATTGAGTTTCATTAGTAAACAACTTTTTTAGAGAGTTAATAATTCAGTTCTGGCACAAAACAATAAAAAAAATAAATTTAAATTTAAGATCGACATGGCATCAAAAATTAAATTGGTTAGGTGCATGAGATCTCACTGGTGTTCCAGACCACTTTGTGGTCTGTTCCAGACCACTTAGTCACTTGTGTCTCAGCCATGTATGTGTTAGACACTTGTCAATTCTTGTATTCATTTTCCCTTGCTCTTCTCAGCTTTGGAATAACAAGCAGTCTTGGTGTTTTACACTTAACTCACAACTGCATAGTTCAGGTTTCATGACTGATACATGGCAATTGTGAACTAGCCAGGGTCAAGGACTTGTCTTGAAATAAGGAGACTAGTAAAAAACTCATCGTGGAGGGAAAAAATAAAAAAGGCTTCGATTCGTTGGATTTTATTTTACTGGTTTTATTAAAAATATCCACAAAAATATTTCTGTGCCTTGTATAATGTCCTATCACATTCTATATAGTTCACAAACGGTATTGCAATTAGTAAGACTAGTATATGTCAGCATTATACCACTGCAAAGGACTATAAAATGCCCATTTCATTTATGCCTATGATCACAAGTAGCTGGATATGTAACAAATTTTAAGAATGTATACTTAGAGTAAAGCTCTAAAGGAATGGCAGGCATCTGAAGATGAGGTTCAATTCACAGATCTCTTAAGCCGATGACTGTACTCATACTATCCAACTTCAGGCACGTAACTTCCTTAGCTGGACCGACTTTATCTTTTGAATGTCCAAGCAAGGCACAAATCTAACTTAGATGGTCCAAACAGCCCTTTGGGAGACCTTTTATTTCTCTACTGAGTATATACAGAGCTTAGGGAGAACAAATGGCTGACACAGCCAGCTGTAAAAAGAATGTAAAGCTGAATGAAGTTCCCTTATGAAGCCTGATTTTCAGAGGTGCCGAGACATCTTTTGATGCCTAAATACATACCTGTTCTCCCTGAAAAATGTGATTTGAACATCATAAAGAGATTTTTCATTACCACTTACCTTACAAGGCAGGATCACTGTACTTTTATTCTAAATTCTCTTATTTAGATTGAGTTCAAAATACTGTATTACCATAGTAGCGTAACACTTACATTCACAACAGACTCCTTGAATTTGATGTGAAGCCTGTAATTAGAAAGGGCAATGATGGCATCCTCTGCTCGTCCTACATACTCTGTACTCTCACCATGAAGTTCAATGAACGGGACCTTCAAAACGGGAAGAAAAATTTTTCTGAACCCAATTACCAAATAAGTACCTTCTGTAAGCATACACTCAAGCACACAACACTATAAAAACCAAAATGAAACACTGGTGAAAATTCAGCCTAGCTATTACTGCTAAGGAGGAAAGTCCTGGGTAAGGTTGGTTCAGAGGTTAATTGTAGCCTTTTTAAAACATGATTCCTTAATACTCAGGAAAATTAAGAGAAAATAAGTGCTTGGTCAGGAAAACCAATTAATTTTAATGAAAAATTTGAGCAAAATATCCTCACATTTTGGCAAGCAGTCTTCACCAACCCTTTGATTTATGCTCTCACTCCTTACTTAAGGGAATGGCATTTCCATAATGTTACTAAAATCATCCTTAGGTGGGCAAAACATATAAATGAATAATATATACTAATCTATGAATAATACGTATCTTAAATGCTGTTGGTCTCCAATACTAAACAAACTCCGGTAACCAGCTTAGACTGGATACTTAAATGCTACACAGTTGAAGTCAGCTGGACAAATCATACTTTTTACTTCATATTTCTCACTGCAAATATGAAAATGCAGGACATGCCGCTCTTTTATAAAGTTAGAAAACCTGCAGTTGTATTACACTGCACAAAAATTGCAACTGTTTAATTAAAAACGTGACTTAAGCCCAGTTTAGCTGAGCTGGGTGAAAAGTGTGAGTGCTCAACTTGAAAATAATCTAGTTTTACATCAACTTAACTTAAATCAAAAATATTGTCTATTGAAATGAAACAGACTACCTCTTCAGTTGATACAGGAGTGTCTACATGGATAAACCATTTGAACCAAAGTGATTTCAAAAGGAACTGTGGAAGATTAAGAAACCAAAAAAATATCTATTTTGTGCAACATAAGACTTTTGGCTTCCCAGTAACAAGAAGTAACGATAGTACTTAACTAGCTTAGTGTTATTCTTCTAAAAAACAAAAAGTTCTAAACTACAGAATAAAACCTAGCACTTGAAATTACTACACAAGTAATGGTTAATATTTTTCAGACCCGAAGGAATCTCTTGGAGTAGAATGCACAAATTCTCTGTCATTACCAAGAGTACATGAGTATTTAAAAAGAAAATGTATTTCTCCTATTACCATGATCAGTTGCAAATGAAAATTCTAAAGGAGAGGCCAGAGAATACGTAGGTCAACTAGAGATCTTAACTGGCAAGGAGCAGTGTGGTAATTACCTGCAGGTTCTCATCCTCTCGGATCAGCTGCTTCCTGGGAAAAATCTGATTAGCTTGGATGCATTCAAGGCTGTGCTGAGTCTCTTCATCCTAAGAAACAAAGTGTTACACTTAACTTCAGCACTGTCACTTGCTGCCTTCACCATACAGCAAGCTATCAATGACCAACAAAAAGCTCAAACAGGACCAAGTGTTTCGAGAATTCATGTATCAGTAACTTAAAGTTACTAAACTTCCAAAGACAAGCACTCAACTAAATATGACATTAGAAACAGGTTTCCTTCCTGCAGCACGATTAATAAATAAAAAAATTACTTGTGATAGTATTAGAAAAAAAGCATTAGCCTAGTCTAGCACTACACTTAAGATTCAACAACCCCACATGTAAACATTAATTCTCCATTGGTTTTCAGATTTTAGCCTACTCTGCTCTGTAACAGACCCTACAAACCCCTTTTGCTTACCATGACAGGCCCTGGATAGGAGGAGAAATCCTCGTCTTTACTCACAATACTTTGAGGCTCTTCTTCACGTACTATTAAAATCTAAAAAACCAGAAAAGCATAATGAAGTTAAATTCATTTTCTTTTGGCAAAAACATACAAATTAACTTTTAAAGACTGAGAACTCATCTGTTAGAAAACTGCAAGCAAACAGTAATTACGAAAAGATGAAATCCATATAAGCTGACTCTCCTGAGAGACAAAATTGTTTCAAAACTTGTCTGGCTCCTTCTGTTCATTCTGAAAAAATCATCTTTGAATGTACCCCTGGGAGAATATCCATCTGAATGCAGCAATTAGACCAATGTTTATATAATTTAAATTAAAACATGTTCATTTTTCTAGATCACTGTCATGGTTTAACCCCAGCCAGCAACTAAGCACCACGCAGCCACTGTGATCATTTAGTCTGATCTGTTATGTAACACAGGCTGTCGCATCCCCCTGAAGTAATCTTGTTTCAACTGCAGCACACGAATTAGAATTCTTAACTATAAAATGAGGAATTTTATCTGTATATGACTCATTTTCTACATCCATTTCCTTCCACTGACCTTTAATAGCTCCAGATCACTATATACTAGCAACTTGCTCTCCCCACTATCTAGCAATCCCCTGATCTTTTACCATCTGCAAATTTCCTGGAAATATTAAAGAGCATACAGTCTTAAAGCTTATTCAACCGACTCTAATAGGAACTTAATTATTGAAATGAATACTGGAGTTACAGTTTGATTTTGAGATTTATCTCATACTCCATTTTTTTAAATTCAGGTAGGTTCTTCCCACTCAAAAAAAAAAAAAGGATTCATTCAAGTATTTTATGGGTTTTGCAGTCTACAACACAGAAAAGATAGAAATGAAAATGCATCAGTCAAGTTCAGTCAGTTCTCAGTTCATATGTCACCTTACTTATAAATATATTTCAAATTACCAGCGTTGTGGTTGACAGCAAAAAACAGTTCAAATCCATCAGCTCACAAGCACACCACCACTGCAGGAAGCGCTAACTACGTCCTGTATGTTGTACAGAATATACGGGAAAAGGGGCAGCAGATGCACATATTCTGAAGCTAAAACATCCCACTGTCTAAAAATGATCAATGAGAAGAAAGCATTACACTGTACCCAAAACCTGTTACACAGGAACACTGCAATAAACAAAATGCCTGTTTGTCCCCAGAGTAGGCGAGAAACAGTATATAAATGCTTGCAAGTTGATTCAAAATTGCACAGCTTGCAGAAGGACATATGTGTGTGTGTGTGTATATGAAAGGACAAAATTATGAACAGAATTGAGCTGGAACTGCTACCAATTCACTAAAAATGAATGTAAAAAGTAGATATAAAAATCCCCATTTTAAACAAATGAGAAAAGCTAGAAGACTTGATAGAAGTATGATATTATTAACTATGAAAACTTATTGGGAAAAATAAAAAAACAGCACATGAATTTCCACGCCTGCAAAAACAGTGGAGAGTAGAAACATTCTTTTAAGTCATCAGAAACAAAGGAAACCTATAAATGCTATCTACCAACAGCAAGATGAAGTCTGTATTATTGTTAAGATCGGTTTTAAAAAAAGGCAGAATTATTTAACATATTTGTTTCAAAAGAAGCAAGAGAAGAAAAATGGTTCATATGTAACCCACATCGTCGCTGATGAGAATATTGAAAGAATTCCAATGATTAAAGCTCAAAAGGCCGTAAATTCATCAGGTTTGATCTTTAATGTATCAGTGGCCATAAAATTCCAGCGCTTGTATTCAAAACAAGATCTTGTGCTCATACCAGCATGACTTAGTATTTTACGTACGTTGTGTTTGGGTACACTTATCTTCTAAAAACACATCTACTCTTGACTTGAAGATATGGAGAAAAGAGGGGTTCAGCAGTTCTCCCAAACACATCTGGTTTCAGCTTCTAACCTTTGGTTTTCACTGAATGTTTTTCAAGATCATGTGATGCATCCTTCTCCTTGATCTACAAGATTAAAAAATGAGCCTCCTGCTCAATCAAATTTAAAATGATGGCTGGCTAAGCAACAGGCTTATTCATCCAATCAACCTCTATCTTACAGCTCATCCGTCGAGAAAGGCACAGACTGGATTAACTTTAGAGTACATCCTGATATAATGAAGACTAACGATTCAAGAGGAGATGGGTTTAAAAACTGTAAGGTTTACACAAATCTCCTCCATCCTTAAAATAACAATAAGCTTACGCATTCAGCTCTCAGGTCTACAGCCAGCCAGAAGAGCAGTGAAGAGTTAGGGCATATTTAGACGAACGCTTTTGGGGAGAGGATCTCAGTTACATTTCTGCAGGCTGTTGGCAAGACTGCCTTCTGCAACCAACTACCTCTTCACCAGCACCAATTCTGCTCTTCCGGAATAGCAGCCACTGTTAAAGTCATTATGACCAAACATTTCCACATCAATTCATCTGGACAATTTATGTCACAACTTGAACAAAGCTTTAAAAATAAATAGTAAAGCCTTCTGAATATAAGAAATACCTTGCTATTTCAGAAAACTCCTTCAACTTCAGGCACAATTATCAGAGAAACATGGACCTAAATAAAAAGATGAACTTTATTACAAATCTAAAGCCTGCTTATTATTACTGCTGAAGTTTTAATATATTAGGCACTGTGCTGTAACAAAACTGTTCTTTTATACTTCAGATTGATTATATTTATTTTTAAAGTTTACCATATAACCATCTACACATTAATAAAACAGTATTAGCTTAGAAAATTAGGTCTTCAAAAATTTCTTACAGCTGTGCTCCTAAAATCCAGCATAAGCCATCAACAGAGACTATCCTAATTACTGCAGAACAAGTTTATTATTCTAATTGCTGCACTCAGCTGCAAAACAGCTTCTATTATAATACTGTTGGTTTTTACATGAACATGAGAATCTTCCTTTTTAGGATGAATTTTGGGAAAGCTGTGTGAAAAAAATATGCCAGTTTCAGTTTTAATCAGGATTATCAGATATAAAGTGTGATGATGCCAAGATAAATGGTACAACAACTTACAAGACAGGTTCTAAAACAGTTTGCACACTCACACCACTTTTAGGTATTAGTGAAATGCTTCATCAACTTAACTGCCATAACACAAAAGTACTTCTAAAAATTGATGGCAAACAATAGCAAGAAACATTAAATTGTTAGAATTAAGTTCACGGATCTGGTGGACAGTGAATACACCAAAAGAAATAATTCATTTCCCATCTCATCAACAAGCTGACCCCACTCTCTTCATGGCCTCACCACCACTGGGTTGAACACAAGGGAAAGGAACTGCACCACTGGGACCAGAGACAGGGACCACACACTATTCTCAATAGCAGCCCATACTGAGATTGTGTGAATTAGCTCTGAAAACACACTTTCAATCTCAATTTTGTTCTATACCAAAACTTTCTAATCCATTTCCATCCGTACGTTCAGCAAACCCTTCCCGGCTAGCCATGTGGCTAGAAAAAGGATCGTGGTGATTGTGTGGCACCTAGTAAGGGCATTTCTGACCCTCACTTTAAGAGCACTGCCTCGGAAGTCAGAACACAAACTTTCTTCATTTTGTCAACTTCAAGTCACTCTGCTGAATTTTAGCCATGATAATTTCTGTTGAATTTTGGCCATGATAATTAACACGCTTTGCTACTCTGAAGGACAGCTTGATACAAAGTGAGATTAGCATAACTGGCTGAAGAAAGCTATTCTCCAATTGATCCATACCATTTTTTTTTATTATTACTTGCAGAATGGAGTCAGCATTCTCATTTTGTTTAACTGCAGCTGGCAAATAGTCAGCTATTCCAGGACAGTAAAAAACATTTCCCAGAAATGAAATGGAAATGTTCAAATACAGCTTTGATAATAACTGACCAAGAAAACATCTTCATAAAAAGCACCCTCAAATTCAGGCTCCTACTTATAAACAGGATCACGTATCAATTGTAGGTAGCTTATACGTAGTGTAGTGAAACTTGGTTTTATTGTTGTAAACTTTTTTGGTTTTTTTAGTCAGGACTGAGACCAAAAAAGGTTGTTACCAATTTACTGTGCTGCCCTTTCAACTGTAGCTTCACATATATTAAATTACACCAAAAAAGAGGTTAGTCTTGTTAATTCTCCATCTTTATGTTCTGCTTGAAAGGATAAATGACTAGTAAAGGTTGTAACCTCAGACTCTGTTCAAGCAGTATGAGAACAATCTTAATTACCTTTCATTTCAGATGTGCCTTCTGGCCTAAATTATGTATATAATTGAGACTAGCAATAACCATCTGTTTGACAGTGATTCTGAACAAAAAAGATTATACAAATAAAGGACCATTTAAATTCAGATACATTTAAACATAGTTGGACTTATATCAAGGAAAAGGAGAAATTGGAGGGAAAAAAAGGAAGCACTCAAGTGTTTCACTTTGTTTCCCTGCCTGCCCTGTCCAGAACCTAAATTCCATTTATTTTACTATCAAAACCAAATTGATTTGGCCCTCCGCCTCAAAACAGCTATTTATACACTGTGTCACAGTTGCCCTGTACATTTTAGATAGGAACCCAAAGGCTTTTTCAAAGCATTAGAAAATCTGAGAATTAAATACTCAAGAAAGCAATCTAGTGTTAGCAAAAGATACTTCTGTTACAAACTGAAAACACTACTTCCCCTTCGCAAGTGGAAGGAAATTATTCTGAGATAAGGATAAACGCTTAGTTTCCCACATTCCAATCCCTGACAGCAAGGCTTCCCCTCTTTCCTGGCATCATATGTAGAAGTAACTGAATAGCTTTCAAAAGTATTTACTGGGGAAGTAACTAACAAGATGGGCATTTGCACATACCCAGGAACAAGAGCAGAATAGACAAAGAATCATGTTTGAAGCCTGTGTACAACTAAGAATCAGAAGTTTTTTTTGTTTTTTTGTTTTTTTGTTTTTTTTTAATAATTGATGGCTGCAAATTCCATCTCAGTAAAATAATGATTTTTGCCTAACATCTTGGAAAATGCTTTAATAAGAGAGTAATCAGTGATAACCACAGAATCCACATCCAACAAGTAGCTCATCTTACCAAAATAAGACAATTAGCTCACCAAAGAATGATAGATAATAAAAGTCTTCTTTGTCCCAGAAAGTTTCAAACGATACTCTTCTGATACTTCACATTGGCAACTGCAAGTGAAAAGACAGTACTTTAAAACACAAACCTTCATTTGAAAAAAAAAAAACCACTTCTTAAATAGCTACTGACTTATACAAAACTTATGTTGGCTTGTCTTAAATAAAAAAAGGAGAAAGTACTAGCTACTATGTAAGTCATAGCTACTAGGATCTTACTATGCCCAAATAGGGAATTCAACAATTGTATTCTGACAGGTACATGTGTGCTGGTTAGGGCCTCTTCTCTGGTAAGGCACAGTTCAGAAATTGTGGGTACAAAGCAATTCCAATTTTTTTAAAACTTCTTTGGTAAATAGAAATGAAAAAAAATTAATACTTAGCAATACAAGCTACAGGAGAGGTCTTTTATAGGAGATGCAACTGGGTTTGTACTGATCTTCAAAAGTGGTTTTTATTTTTACATTAAAGTTAGCTTTTTTTCCCCCAAAGAAATCAGATGAAGACCTCCAAACAGTGTTTACTGCCTATACTTTTAGACAAAGCTACAGAAAAGCCAAGGTGAACAGCAATGCTCATAAGATACCATTCCTCCCAAGCCCTATCTTTTTGACTTTCCAAGTGCTGTAAAACAGCTGTTTCCTGAAAAATAAATAAGTATTGTGTCACAAATACATATTTGTCAAAAAAATTCTACGAAGAAAATAACCAATTTGTTTCATTCCTACTCAGTCACTTTGGTAGGTATTCACAGAAGTCTTCTACAGTACCTGAATGACTGCTGGGACACAAAGTTCTATAGTAAAATACCCAAACCCTAAAATTAAAGTTCCGGACTAAAACCAACCATTCCTAAAGCATGCAAGCAGCTAAACTGATGGAACACCACTGCCTTGTATCCAGTATACCAGAAGATTTGCTCTTCACAATAACTTGGAAGCTATCCCAATAGCATGCTGCATGTGTATGTGCCTGGAAAGCCTAACTTCTATAAACATATAATCCTGCTGCTAGGAATAGTTTGCTTCTAATCTGATGTGCCACAGCTAGCTATAATTTTTGCATCACAGAAAAATAATCTCCATTTTGCATTTATTGTGTCCTTTAGTTTATGGCTTATGACAAGGGCAAAAATAAAAAGTACTTTCAGTACACAAGAATATATAATTTTAGGACTGACATAGTAGAAAAATTCTTTAAGAAGTTCAAACTAAAATGCACCAAGCAAAAGAAACTAACATTTCACACAGTAGACACTCTAGGGGAATCTCACACTTATCTACACTCAGCTATTACTGAAAAAAAAAAAAAGTGACATTATGATGCTCTACTTTAAGAGAAAGCACCCTATGAATGATCACAGCTATTAAAAACCTCAGCTAATAATTACTATTTTATAAAAGAGTTTCTAAAAGCAACATTTGGTTACCTGCGGAGGTCAACTTTTTTTTAATTTTAAAACCTCTCACAACCAACAAGCCAAATGTCAACTCTAATAGCTTCACGGGTTGATAATTAAATATGGCACACGAAGCAGAAAGGACACAGTTTTACTTTAAGGTACCAGCTTGATCAAGCATCAAGTTCAACTTTACAGCTGCTTGGTTGTACAAAGTCACCTTTGACAGGATTACTTAGCAAACTTATTAAACAAAAAAAAAGTATGAAAGCACACTACACAACTCTAGAATGACTCTTCAGAGACAGTTTTCTGGCCACATCCTTAATTTTAAAAAGGCAAGATATACATTTAGGGTAGCAGAAGGTAGACTTACTTTGTGTGGTTTATGTCCAATAAAAAAAAAAAAACAAAAAAAAAACAACTTCACAAGATCTGCAACAAGCTTTTTATTTAGTTTAATGAGGTTTGGAAGAAGTCACTGAATCTCAAGTGTTTTGCAGAGAAGTTTAAAAACAGGAGAAAAATGTTCCAATATGTGTTAATAATTCCGCTTTATTCTTGCCAGTATTCAGAAAACACTTCGTGACATGCTCATCAGCATTCCTCTTGCAAAGCTGCTAGTCACAGATAAGCACCTCAAATGTTATCACTTCCTAAGTCAACAACTTGTGCCAAAATAAAAAAAGCTGACTGTAATAAGAAACATCGCTCTGAATTCTACTACCATCTCAAAAACACTAACTACTCAAGGGAGGACCAATCCCAAGTACTGGTGTATACCTGTTTAATTAATACAGTTAAGCAGATCTAAGTTTGCTACCCGAGATGGGTGACAGCCTCCCCCTCTGTGTGCTCCCACCATTTCCTCTGCATTTTGTCCTCTGATCCACAACGAACAGATTCAGCACCATTAGGAAAGCAAAGGGTAGATGGAAAAAAGGAGAATGATTTCAGTAAATCCTACAAAGTCAAGCATGTCTAGTAAAGGAATTGATTTTGCACCATCTTTCTTATTAGGCTGTCATTCTCATAGCTGGTTTGGTTTAGATTTTTTTTTTTTATTTAAGCACAGATGCTGAAAAATATACTAATAGTGCCCCGTTTTTAAGTCATTCTGCCATAGGGCTCTAGTACATGAGGATGCGAACAGAAGCACTTCAACTAAGCTTTTGATTTGAACGCTCATCTTAGGAACCTTCTCTGTTGACTAGTTTGGGAAACTCGGCTTTATGTAAACACTAACTAGCACACAGGTCTTGCCTCCATTGATTTTTCTTGGAAGATGCGGGATGATATCAATTATACTGTAATAGTGAAACTAGTAATAATTGTGGGGGGAAACGCAAAATAATGGTTTCCAAGGTACAGAACTTTCATCCCTGAAGATATTCCAAATGTGAGCAGCCCTTGAGCAAACCAACCCAAGAATGAAGTTGGCCCTACTCTGAGCAGAGAGCGAGCCTACATAACTTCCAAACTAAGTTATATGATGCATCTGTGACCATGTTTTCCTTGACATTTAAATAAAACATTGGCAAATAGCTAGAACAAATACTCTTGAGAGGTTTTAATAAACATGTTTGTTTTAATTAGGAAATTGGAAAGTTGTCACCTCAGTTTCTTAGCTGAAAAGCTGTATTAAGCAGTAACAGGAGAAGTATGATTTGACAAGCAAAGTGACAGAAGAGAATAGCTTTAGAAAAAAACAAATCCAAGTTTTCTTTATCCACAAAGCTATCCCCCTAAAGATGCAGATAAACAAAATCAAGCTTTCTTCTGGTAACTGACTATTTTGAACATGTGTTCCTTCCTCCCTTTGCTAAAACATGGCATTTCTTCATTGGTTGTGCCACACCATGTCTCAACCTTAGTATTACACAAGTGCTGCTTCTGATTAGAAGTTCTCCATTTCTGTTTACATTTCTAACTTTGCAATGTTACTGTTCCCATATAACGTAGCTCTGCAGTGACTGAACCTTCCCTTGCACCACATTCCATTTCATCACCTTTTTGTTTGGCTGCTTTCTGCTCAGCTTTAGCTCACATATTGGCTATAGATTGTTCCTCTGCTCCTCCTTCCTTTTTATATTCATCCTAGTGGATTTCAACTTGCTTTCCCCAAAAACTATTTTTACCCTACTTTTAGTGTGCTAAGAAATAGGAACAGAGTGCTACTATCAGCTACCTACCACTTGGGCGATGCGGTTAGCTTGTGGCTGAGATAAAAACCACAGAGGAGATGACAGCATTGGGACTGTCACCCTGAGTAGTCACTCTTCAGGCTGGACAATGCAAGGTTACCACTTAATAGAAAGTTTTAAAATAGGTACACAGAGAAGGAGGAATTCTGATCTTCAGGGAGGTATTTTCTGGTTTCTACTGGTGGGTGTCTTCTGTCATACTCCAGATTACATTACATAATTTCCCGTGTAGAAAGCAGCTGAATATGGAGCAGTGTACACATCAATACTCAAACGCACAGTAGAGTACGCAGAGACCAACAGCCATACTGAGTATCTCACGGCCCCTTCACATGGATGGGAAGTGTCCTACGTAAGAGCATTTTGAAAGCGTCTTACTCCATTTTCCGCTCTACTTGTGCTTCTCTCAGTGAAAAAATTATGAGTCCAAAGCATCAGAAAAAGTTTTGTCAATATCTGTCACCGCAGTGACTCATCATTAATGGTAGGTAATTTAGTTTCCTGTGGAACCCTTTAGAGGTAGGCATATTAGTTTCCTTCACCTTCCCACTCAAAAATGGCATTAAACTGTTTTTAAACCAGTTGAAGCTGATTATCTTTGCATGCTAGTTAAAAAAAAGATCACTCCTTACACTCTTCAAAAATTAAACCTAGAAGCAACAGTTCAAAGTTAAACCAAAACACATCTCAAACATAAGCAAAGCCTGAAATGGTAAAAGAATGCAGTAGGCAAGGCAGCAGAAGCACTCCTGAGACTGCCGCTATCTAACAGCAGTAAAGAGAAATTTGATCTTGTATTAGGAAAGGTCTATTTTTCCATAATTGATGTAAAGAATAAAAATCAGTGGAACTTTAAGTGGGATTATAGTATTAATTATACCACTAAATAAGACTTTTTAGGAAAGTGTGTTTCTGAATAAATTATTATATATTACTATTCTTCACTGATCTCAAAAGACCACAGCAAGTTTGAAACCAAAATCTGAAGAAAATGTCGCTTTTAAGATTTCAGGTTGGTTCTTTCAATTCCTTTTTTATTTGGATAAGCCCCTGTGAAACCCAAATGCCACAGTGCATACGTTAGCCAGGATACAATTTGCCCATCACACATCTTACGAACCAGTGGAAGTTCCAAGCTCAAACTAATAATCCATTCTACAATGTTCACCTTATTTCAGTTATTCCATAGTCTTCAATTTTCTGTGCATGACAGACAAGCGACATCTACAAAGAAGGACCGACAAGCTACACACATTTGTCTGAACTTTGAAGAGATCTGCAAAGATGGGAGCTGAATCCAGTAGTCCTTTATGAAAGCTGACAGGACGTAGAACACGGACCAAGGCCTGAGCTGGTGGAAACTCAGTAGACTTGTATAGGTTCTAAGGTAGAAAGGTGACCAAGTATGCTTGGGAGGGGATATTACGTCAAAAGGTATATGAAGCACAGAA